CGCCGGCTGTGCACGTTTCTGATGGCATACCGCGCGGCGCCACACTCGACGACAGGTCGGACGCCGGCGGAAGTGATATTCGGGCGTCCGATGCGCACCAGGCTCGACCTCGTGCACCCAAGCATCACACGAAATGTACAAGAGAAACAGCGAGACGAGAGGGAGGCAGCGGGAGGAAGGTCGCGCCAGTTCAGGGTAGACCAGACCGTGTGGGCGCGGACATATGGCGGCCCCCGACGGTGGCGGCGCGGCGAAGTGGTAGGCATCACGGGCCCCGTCTCGTATCAAGTAGACGTCGGCGAGGCCGTCTGGGCCCGCCGTGCGGACCAGCTCCTGCCAACAGCAAGACTGGAAGAGCAGCAGCCGACCGAGTCAGCTCCGCTGGAGCCGTCGCAGCAGCATCCGACCGACCCTGCTCCCGTCCGGCAGCAGCATCAGATCCCGGAGGCTCACAGCTCTCTCGGGGAGAGAGAAGAGGAGGAGGAAGAGCGACCGGCACCGGCCAGGGAGGAGGCAGGTGGTCACGACCAGACCACCACGGAGCCGGAATCAGCTCAACAGAACCGAGCTCCTGACGGGCCGAACGCCGAGTACCAGCAGACGGAGCAGCCGCGCGCCGTCAGTGCGCCGCCCCTGCGGACGGGGCAGGCGCACACGGCCGGCGCGCCGCGTCACGAGACGCAGCCGCGCCGATCAGCGCGCACCATCCGACCTCCGCTGCGTTTCAGGCTGTAGGGAAGCTCCCGTATGGGGGTGGAGGGTGTTGCATCGTGGCCTCGTGTCGCATCGTAGTCGTAGTTCATGGGCGCACCGCGAGTGGCGCTACTGTCGGGCCTTGCGAGGCAGTCTGCCCGGAGCCGCCGTGCCGCGGGGTTCGCTTGTTCATACTTTGTAAATTGAACTCACGTTAACATTAATAAACAGTTGGGAGACACAACAGTAACAACATCCCTGATCGCCACAGGTGGTCCAATGATTGTCATGTAGACTCCAGTTCCAAAATTTTTCTGTGTTTTTCAAAAATCGAGCGTAGATTTGTAGACGGCGTCCCCTGTAGGCGGCGGCACCTCCGTAGACTGCGCGATCACCGTAGGTGGCGTCTTGGAAGCTGTAGGCGGCGCCACTGAAAATGCACCTGCCGCCCAATCCGCTAGATGTCACCGTGCCCTATGTAATGTCAGGTTTCACTTGGGATTTGTCACGTGAGCTCCGCCAGATGTACCTACAATCTTTTCCTACCCTTTAAATTATTTCTTTACGCTGACAGAAATAGCTCCACATGGTAAAAACCTTTCCTTTGGCGAATTGTTTCACAATGTCTTATATGCCTTTCGTCAGCGGCGACAGATAGACACCGGAGACAGCGTCCTGATGAGTGAGCGGTCTGAGTTTTTGTGGACAAGGGAGTGTGATGACAGTTTTGAAGATCCGCGGGCTGCGCTCGCGTCGTTCCCAGTGGTTCGACCAACAGAGGCTGGTCTGCCTTTCCAGCTGACCACCGATGCCTGCAAGCAGGGTTGTGGTGCTACCCTGACTCAGCGTTCTGCTACTGACTGAGTTTGTGGTGACGTTCGCTTCTGGAAAGTGGGTTGATCCAGGAAGTCGCTACAGCACGACTGAGCACGAGCTGCTGGCGGTCATCAGGGCAGCGCGTCGCTTTAGACATTTCATTCCTGGTGTGAAGTTCTTGGTTGTGACAGACGCCAGGCTCTTAAGTAGTTGTGGGGTCTGAATGGCCAATCTGGTCGCTAAGCAAGGTGGATCATTTATCTCTCGCTGTTTGATTTTGAGGGGGAACATCGTCGTGGGGTCGACATTCCACACGTGGACGCACTGACCCGCGACGCGTTCAAGAAGACTGAGAGCGGCGTCGAGCAGAGGGCGACTGAAGATGACGTGACGTTTATGGCCCGCGTCACACAGCTTCATGAGAGACCAGGGTCCAGAGATGCTGGTCAACCCGGGCGCCGTCCGTCTGTTTATAACACAGGGCCAGTTTCAGGAACAGGTGGAATTCTCGGCGTGGCGGTGGCTGCGCAGAGGGCCGAGGCCTCGAGGCTGACTGCAGCAGCGGCGGCGGCGCATGATGCTGATGCCCGAGCCGCGCGTGCCGACGGCTCTCGAGCTGCTGCACGTACTGCTGATGCGCGGACGTCGCCTTCTATTGGTACCTGAGCGCCATCTATGGCAGACTCGAAGCCACCTGTGGCTGGTTGGGTGCAACCGGAAGCTGTGACTTCGAGAGTTCTGCGAGAGGAAACGGCCAGGGACAGAGTGCTCTTGAAAGTGATTCGGTGTGTTCAAGGTGAGCCAATCAAGGCTGCTGACGATGAGGTTAAACTTAAATTCTATCTGTCTCAATAACCTTTCCTTTTCACGGAGGATGGGCTTGTGAAGCGTCTTACGAACTCGGACCGTGAACCACAAATTGTCATGCCTGGTGCTGTACGGCCGAGAGTGTTCGAACTTGCTCACCACATTGCTGCGGCGGCACATTTCGGTGTCGATAGGACGCTGGGTAGAATCACGCCCAACGTTTTCTGGTTTAATGTGAAGAAGGACGTACGGGAATACTGTCGCACGTGGGTGCTGTGTGCTCGAGTGAGAGGACCGAACCGTCCTCCACAGGGAGGGCATTGGGGGTGTACCCTTGGCTGGGGAACCCTTTAGGCAGTGGTCAGCTGACATTTTGAGACGGTTGCCCGTGTCCAGTTCAGGGAACTGCTCGATTTTTGTTGTGTCCGACCTTTTTACTAAGTGAGTGGAGGTGTTCAGCTTGGCTGACCTGACAGCTTGGGTTGGCTTCAGCCGTGACGGTGGCAGATGGCTTTGTGGGACTGTTTGCGCGCTACTCGGTTGCAAAGTCGATCTTGAAATCAGGGTATCAACTTTGAAAGTCAGCTGATCCGACTTCTATGTCAGAAGTTTGGCGTCACAAAACTGCGCTGTACACCTGTTCATGCGGCTACAAACGACCAGAGCGGTTTAAACTAACGCTTCGTGATTGTCCCGCGTATTCTGTGAACGACAACCAGTCAGGTTGGGACAAGTGGTTACCGCTGATGTTGTTCCCCATTTAAGAGCAGTATTCACAGTACTACTGGATTTACGCCGTTCGAGCTGTTGTACGGGTTTCCACCACACGCACCGTTGCTGTCGGAGTTAGGTGATGACTGGGACCAAGTGAAGAGTATGCCGTATCACTCGTACGTGCGTGACCTGCGGGAGCATTTCACTGTTGATCACGCTAAAGCGTTGGGAAATATTCTGCTAAGCAGGACAGGTCTCGCGTACCAAACGAAAGTGACATTTGTGACGGAGACAAGGCTATGTTGAAGGTGCAAATTGTTCGGTGTGGGAAAACGAAGAAGTTGAGGCTTTGTTCCGAAGGTCCCTACTGTCAATCAGGTGCAGGGGCCTGATTACGTCATCGCTGATTACCTGATTACGTCATTATGCTCGCGATAGGAAAAAGACGCCTGTTCGCGGGTCGAACATTAAGAAGGTGTCTGCTGGAGTCACTGTTGCTGTGTCGAGTGCTCCGCACACCAGTGCCGTGCCCGTGAGTGCGTCTGGGGCTGCAGAGCCTGCTCCGACAGTTGTCTGGGGCTGCAGAGCCTGCTCCGACAGTCGTCTGGGGCTGCAGAGCCTGCTCCGACAGTCGTCTGGGGCTGCAGAGCCTGCTCCGACAGTCATCTGGGGCTGCAGAGCCTGCTCCGACAGTCGTCTGGGGCTGCGGAGCCTGCTCCGACAGTTGTCTGGGGCTGCAGAGCCTGCTCCGACAGTCGCTGATGTATCGCAAACTGTTGACCAGGAGACCGCTAAACCCGAAGTGGCCAGGTCACCGTCGACAGATAACAGAGGATCGTCTGATGCTTTGTATCGCACACGGAGTGGTAGGGTTTAAACCCGAAGTGGCCAGGTCACCGTCGACAGATAACAGAGGATCGTCTGATGCTTTGTATCGCACACGGAGTGGTAGGGTTATGAAACATGTTAATCGTTTGGAGTAGCAAACGTGGTAGTCCTTTCGTCCTTTCTTTCGTAAGGTGAGGGTGTTGTCGGCCGCCTTTGATTGACCTTATCCTTGTCCTTGACCTGGAAGTGCTACAGCTGTTCTGCGACGCGCTCTATTCTGATTGGCTGTTGTCGCGGTACCAGCCGAGGTCGGACGTGGCGCGCGTTTTCGGGCTCTCTGTCTCAAGACTTCGCCGCGGATGTATCGGTGTTACTTTTGTATTGGCTACGGCCAATAAACCTTTGCGGAGACCGTGCTGGGTGGCCTGTGTGGCATCGGAGTCTACGCGAGAGTTTTAGGGCAGAAGACAGTACCTAGTCATGCACTGTTGCGCTGGGTGAAACTTCCCTTTCCTGATTACGCTGCGTTATGGGTAACCTTCCAAAAAAGAACGTCTGTTAGGCCTCCAATCGCGCTAAAGAGCGGAGCAAATAACTGGGCCCGTTCCTAGTCATCACAAGAATTCAGAGGCGTAACTTTCTGAAGTGTTGGCGCGTCTGGCCACCACACCCGAGCGTAACGTTACGCTGTCCAAAACCTCCCCCTTTCACCTCAGCCCTTGCGGTTTTGGTTTTGAATATCTGTTCGTACCTGTTCTCGTTCTGCAGTACATCGCTAGTTTGATTGGCGTATGTTATTTTGTTGAAAATATATAAACCCCTACATAATCACCCTAACTTCAAACCTTTTCAGTCCTCTTCCGTAGTGCTCGGCCTTGTTTTCGGATGATTTTTTACTACACGTGCAACACTTTTTGCAGTGACCTGGTGCTCTTTAGTTTGGCTCAGGTCGATGAAGGCTGGAATGAATGAATTTTCGCTTTCTCATTTGCACAATCTTTGTTTACATATTCTCGTATTGATTTCCACAGGACTTTCCGCACTCAGCAAAACAAGGCAAAACACTTTAATAACGCTATCAACACCGGCAATCAAAAAGGTGGTTCGTAGCCTAAACATGGTGGCATGAATCCATACAAAAATTCCAGTAAAGCCTTTATCGGACGGGTATAAAACAACACAAGAAACCATTCCTGTAACACACGACACACAATACCCAAACAACATGCATAGTGTAATAAGAAGTTCCACCAGCTCAGGACAGTTAGAGCACAATCTCTCCGGGGAGACCATGCGCAGGACCCGACAAAGTCAAGACATTGGTTGCAGCGAGATAAAACACATTCATCATGTGTGCCCACCTGTGTCAGTGATTTACGCCTACGTTTACCACCGACGACACGGCAAAGATCCACAGAGTTGAAAGCGCAAGACAAACCTCCCTCACGAAGGCCTCAAATACGTCATCTCAAGATGAACCGCTGCTTTCCTCTGCTAATTTCATGGGCGCAAGTGACACGTTTACTGTGCACCGGTGCACGAGAGCAAGCAGTGCGACAACCACCCACAACTGGTGTGTGAGATACGCCGCGTTGCAACGGGGCAAAACAAGACATAGCACAACAGCAGCATCCCAAGAGCGTCAGCACACCCCAGCACGTATACAATGAACCTCACCGGTCTTTCCCCTCCCCCGTAAACCACCATCACTGGACCCATCAGGTAGCCTTCATCGATCATCTCTAGCATCCTAGATATTACGACGAGGCCCGTTTGCCCACCTCCATCAGAAAGCTGTACCTGACCCGTTCACCACGCGTCAAAACATGGCGAAGACCGTTGGTGTAGCTCTACCGAAGGCCACTCGTCTACTCAGGGCTCTACGTCAGCCCTGCTTTCCCAACTCTATCTTCTTCTGGATGGCACGGACCGAGTGGAAGATGAAGGCGTCCAGAAGACTGGCCACGGTGAAGACGCCGCCGACAATGGCGCAGAGGTTAGTGGCAAAATGACCGACCGACCTGGGGGCGGAGCAGAGGCCGATCACCGCTGGTCTCTACCGGACACCACCGACCAGCGAACACCCAGCGCTCGCGACACGTGACCAGGCGGCCACGCGCTGGCAGTGCTGATGCTTTCAAAGCTGACCACCAGTGTGATGAAGCGGCAGGCTGAAGCTTATATAGAACCAAAATGGTAGTCATTTCGTGTCGACTATTTGTTTCAACAGCATGCAGTTTAGTATTACGCAAAGACAACTCACTTGACTTTTTCGCTGTACTTGACCATCAGCGGGGCAAACTCGTACACGAAGAACACGCCCGGGGCCGAGCTCCCGTCAGAAAACTCGTTCAACGCCTGAAATTGTCACAGAATGTTGAGAATGGCATATGCCCATAAATACTAGGTTGGCTCAACCGCGAATGTCTACAGGCCTGCACTCATCGCGCGCCGGCTCCCACTTTTCAATGTTTGACAACGGGGTAGACAAACATTCAACATCCTAACAACTTATCAGCTTCGTCAAGGACATCGATTTTGGCCGTCATAAGCGCCGTTGCATACTAGACGCACATGTAAAGCCTGGCTGGCCCGGCGCCCGTTACCTGCACGAAGTGTGTCTTACGATCTAATCTCAGCGGGCACATTCATCCCGGACCAACGGGGAACTCTGCTCTCGCGAACGCTCGAGACACCGGTCTTGTGTGTTTGATCACATTTGCTTTCAGGAATCGTAAGATAATTTTTTTCATATTGAAAAGTAGGTATGACTCCAGTACATGTGACACCTTACCAACGCACCAGGCACATCATCACACACAATTCATTCTCTTTGGCCCGATATCGGGACGGCCACTGAAGCTAACCGCAGTTCAATTTTCCCCCAAATACACAAACATCCATGCAACGCAAGAAGATACAAAACAAAAACGGGATACCTTACCCCTTGATTGTATCGAAATTCCGTGGCGAAAAAGCGAGACAACTAGTCCTAGTCTGTCCAACAGCATTTCCTTCACGAATTAATTCTGAAGAAAGGTTGACCATGTCCAGCTTAACATGGGTTGGCCATGTTCGTACAAATTGTTGGTCCCATTTTGAGTGCGATCTTAAGACGCTTAATTCATGGGACCCATCAATATACTTTGTTTCGATATCTTATCAATATCCATATCTCTCCATATAAGACCCCCAAAACCCGACAACGTTCATAACTGTTATTGGTTTAGAAAGAACCAAGTGAACCATTTCAAAACTGATGACACTCGGAATTTATTTCATGCAGTGACTAGCACACATTTCATTCATTTTTATGCCGTCTAAATGTAGCCAAAGAAAGCTTCTGCGCTCTCTTTAAGTTTAAAGGGAAACCATAAAAGAGCAAAAGGCCAATTGGACGTCCTGTTCCAATGATGGGTCTTTCACCAGCATAGAGTCCTTCGTCACCCCGATGCCCCGTTGCCAAGGCTGCGTCCCTGGTTGCGGAGTTTTCATTCTTGAAGTGGAACAATACCGGCAACATGCTAATATTAAACGGAATGTTCCACAGTTGAAAATATTGAAGCAAGAATCAGATATGATGAAATAAGCTCACTTAAAGCTTCTGTTATGCATTAAGTGGAAAACATTGCTCTAAACAGCAAAATGTCTCTATTTAGTAAATATGCTCCTGAATACGTCATTGTTTTATTGCGCCATCGTACCTAGAAATTGATTTCGAGCCAAAAGACGACCGTTTTATCTTGAAATTGTCTTCACATACACCAGGTATGAACGGCTCGACAACTATATGTTCTTCGCCTTGATCACCGCATAGTTAATGAGGTAGTAAGATTTAAATGACGCTCTTATGGCGTCATGAATGTCTGGGCGACCTTGAAATAGTCTGCACGAAAAGGTCTGCACACCATCGCGGGCACATACCTCAGATACTAGAGGAGTTTAGGTCCTAAGAAGAGCAGGGCTGTAAACGGCGCCGAATGATCTTCAAAATGGCTCTTTCAGTTCAAAACCGTCCACAAATGTGGAATGCCCCCTTTAAGCCGACCTTTGGCCGGATGCTACTGAATTTGTAATATTCAAGGTTTATCCGTACCCACATCCCATGCCCTTCACACGAACGCAACAGTCAACAGGTTCCACTCACCTGGTGGTAACGGGTGACGGAAAACTGGTTTGTAAACAAAGTAAAATCATCTCTTCTCTGCCACATCGTTGGGACGATCTTGACAAAATATTTGTACATAGTTCCACCTGAAACAAAAGCATGTCATGATTGTTCGGCGGTCACAGTCACGCTCACATTGGGATGCACATCGCCCAGGCGAAATCATACGTTCTGGGCGAGGCAGGTCGCCGAGAAGGAGAGAGCGGGACTGTACAGTGGTGCGTCCATTCGCGCAAGTCAGACGACAGTAGTTCCCATTTCTCCCAATAGAGGGCAGTACTGGGTAATCCCTCAGATGCTTTGTGTGATAGGTACCCTTAATATAATCCATCCATGAAAGGTTTATTGAAATAACGAGAAACAACTCCCAGATTCATAGTGAAATGTTTAACAACCACAGAACAAGGCTTTGGGGGTAAAATGGTAAAACCAGCAAATATCTCAAATCCCTTATATAGCTACTGAAAATATCATTCTATATATAATATTCTCACTCACAAAAATGCACCACTCGGTCTTGGCTTTCGCAACCACTAGTTTCTGACATACATAGGTGCTCTACAGTGCTGCTAGAAATTCTCCCTGAATCCAGAGATCTAAACTCGCAACTAGTCATCCCAGAGGCAGATGTCTGCCAACGCCACAGATAAGTGTGCACATTTATGCATACCTCTCAGATCAAGCCACCACGCACCACCGCGGGACCCTTTCGAATGACAAATCTGGCGCCGCTACCCTGGCTGCCGTCGTGCCCACTGGACCTGGACTTGCCATTGGTAATATTTGTTCGGATCCATCTGATTCAACGCATGCACTAATAAGACACATGCTTTTGATGAAGTGCTCCTGTAGTGAAAATAAAATTGAAACCACCCAGCGCTCGCGCAATGACTGCATTTCACTATTGCAATTCCACCATCTCCCATCCACAAGGGTGACGGCCTATCAACTGCTGAACGGCCCAGGAGACTCGGGACCTTCAAAGCCACTATCAAAACTGAAGGCGTTTCCAAGCCTGCCTTCACACACCACAAGCGGGATTTCTCTGACAAACACGGGCCTGTGAGCCCGTCGCCGTTCGCCATCTGACGCTAGCCTGCGACGCTGTCACCGCCCACTGCCGGCCAGTGTCAGCACCACTCCCGGGCCTCGGCCTCCAAGGCGCCCGCTTGCCCTTACATTCAGTCCACCGCCAGCCCTCCAGCTGGAAAAAAACCTCTGATGTCGTCACAGCCATGGCCCACATTGTGTCTGCAGAACATTCCATCCGTCTCACAGGACTGCAACAGTAACAATTCCTAGCATTATCATTTCTATGACGTACTTAGGTTACCGTGGTAATTGAGTTAATAGTTACCAAAGATAGCTTATTGAGTTATAACATAGACTATGTATTGACACATGTCGTCATCTGCGTAATAAGCGTCTGCGAGCGAAAAGAACTTACCTCAGCAGTTCGGTGCACTGCGGACATGTTTCAACTACAAAATTACTCAGTCACTTGACTCCACCAGAAAACAATGCTTGCAATTTCGCCAGGCATAATGATTCTGGGGATATCAGGTCTCCATCTCGCCTTTAAGTGCCCATTCGAGCCATTGTCATCAGGCGCGCCTAAACCCTGTTCATTTGCTCTTCACTCAAGACATTTTTAATATTTTTCCATTTTCAAAATAGGCAACATCACTGGGAAGACTCGACAATGGTCCAAATCTGTCACGCGCTTGATGTTTTTCCACAGTGATGCTTAGCAAAAATAGCGCAACGTGTATGGGGCTTCATTTTTTCTAAACAAAAACCAAGTTGTTTAAACGTTTGTCGACAAAGGGTAAGTCAGATAAGTAGAAACTATTCCTCAATATTGCCACAACGAATTGTGTGAATCCGATGATGATTGAAATCGCACCATGGACAGGAATATTGAAAAATCCCTGTCCGAATCGGTACTGTGACTTTCAGTAGCGTTTGTCTATTGGTCTGGGCCAATCTCACTGGCGATTTGTGTAACCAATGGTTGGGATGAAGGTGGGGGACCTCCAAATTTTGCGGTTATTTTGTCTCTTCCAATTTACCCAGGGATGCATGCTTGTCACGCCGCCCTCTTTCAAAATGACTTTCTGGTCAACTTGTTCCTTCTACAATTAAGTTGCCTATGGGACCGACCGGCACGAAACCCTTCCAAATCGTTGCACCATGGTCGAAAATACTCTTTCCAGCATACACTGATGGCGATGTCTTTTTGTGGCGATGTCTCAAGAATCGCAGTATGGGGCTATCTGCAGTAAATTTAAGAAATTCAGGACCTTTTGTGCCTTTTCATCCGACCAAAGATCACACTCTTTTAGAAAGGGAAGATTATCGACAACTGCGCATCGATTTGTGTAGATTTTTTGGGCTGACTGGCTCTGGCTCCCATAGACCAAACGGATGGGGTTGCCTGCGAACTGCTTTCGCCGGCCCCGTAAGCTTTTGGTGCCCGTTGACTTGACCCTAGGTCATAAACTTCTGCGAAGAATAAGTTATCGACAATGGCGTATTGATAGGTACAGGTTTTGGGCCAACCGGTGACATAGGCTCGGAGCACAGGGCCGTCCGCAAACTGATGCTTGACGGCTTCGGGCGTTTCTGGCGGCCTTTGACCAGGCTCAAGGTCACTATCTTTTGGAAGGGACAGTATAACGACTACGACAAATCGAAAGGCCAATGCTTTGTGTACATCGGTTACATAGGCTCGGAGCATGCGGTTGCGTGCAAACTATCTTTCCCGTTTGGAGCATTGTTGACGACCTTAGACCTGGCCTAATGTTACCACCTTCAGGACAGGGTGAGTTACCGACCAAGCGGCTTCGAATAATGGAAGTTTGGTGACAATCAGTTTCATGGGCTCGGGGCATGGGGTTGTCACCAGGTTTGGCAGTCCTTAAACCTCTCCTATTCCGCATGTTACCGGCTCCGCGTTTATCAACGTATATTGAAACACCGGTTTAATTAAGCATGGGTGCCTGAAAATACACCACGAACGAGATGCAAACAATCTAAAACTATTGGCTACCACACCACGGGTGGTTGACGAATTATGGATTGCAGGAATTCATTAGCAAATCCGATCGGTCAAATAGATCCGTAAAATCACCACCAGTTCTTACACTGGGATAAGATCGAGCACAGGAGAGTAATTTTGCAAAATAAGTTGGGAGGAAAGGCAAAACAGCAAAACATGTGTTTGCGCTACATGCACTAGATGCGTCCCAGATGCGCCGCGCTGAGTCCGTGCCCATCTACATCTTGCTGTGCTCGGTCCGCACCTGCCAGCAGGGCCATTTGTGTTTAGTCCGTACCTGCCTGCATTCCGGCGTGCTCAGCCTGTGCCTGCCTATGGGGCCTGTCGTGCTCGGTCCGTACCTGTGCGCGGGGCTGACAGTGCTCGGTCCCTTCCTGTCTGAATAGTCACCGTGAGTGTCAAGCCATGTGTGCTGCGTTCCCGAGACGTTGATGTGCGGTGCTATGTTTAATGCCAAAGTGGGTAGAATTGCAAGGGATCCAAGTTGCACAGGTAAGATGACGCAATCAAACAAGGACGCATTGAGAGGGATATTTACTAAGAAGAGTAATTCTGTTGTTTAGATCCATAACTTCCACCGAAAAGTATGCCAAAACTTATGAGCGACCGTATTTCATCATATCTGTCGCTTGTTTCGATATCTTTAAATTTTGGATAAATTTTGGAACACTCCCATTAAGGGCAGGATTGTGAACTGCCCGAATGATCTTCAATATCACTATTTCAGTCCAAAGCCGTACGAATGTGGAATACCCCCTTCCTCGTAAAAAACAAATGTGAGATCACTGCACACCGTGGAATATTCGACGACTCCTGATTCGGCGCCGGGGGCAACGGACTTTCTCCACACTTGAGGAGAAAGGGTGACAGCCCTCTCCATCCCCGCTCCGAAGTACCTGCTCCCTCTGCGCGGGCATGTTTACATCCCACGCCGATCTAATTCGAACGACTTTGCTGAATTTACGCTCGCAAAGCACATGATCCTATCATCCATCTACTTCTACCTGATTGGCTCGCGGCTTAATGCACGCACCAGAAATAATCTACCTGCTACTGGCATAAAAAGCACACTCGTACATTTTCAAGTGCGTGCTTTCGCTACTTTCAAGCTGATTGCGCACTTCATCCACTAGGCACATAATCATACAACATCGAATTCTACGCATTCGGCTCCATGTTTACATGCACCTACCTCCAAAAATTTCTTCATTATCGGCAGGAAGGCAGTCTTATGTCCCCGCCCACCAACCTCGGCAGAAGTTCTGGCGTAAACATTTTCAATTTCCATGCCAACTGCAGTGTAAGTGTTGGCTGCGTAAGCTTGCATAGCACATCATAGTATTCGAATTTAAATTCTACGCGACTGGCTGGCTGATGATGTGCACCTGGCACCCACGGTTCACTCATTATCGATAAGAAGAAAGCCGGATGTTCTGGCCCCGTCATACCCCCTACAATTCTCGTGTGTACGTTTTCACTTTTCAAGCCTTTGTGTTTCATCACTTAGCAGCACGGGTTTGCAAAACACACCATCACACTTGCCATAAATCCTACGCAATCGGCTCGCTGGTAATATGCAGCGGGGTAATAAATACCGGGAAGAACGACTTTCTGTACAAAAACAACCAGTATAAAACTGAGACACTTAATTTGCAATATATTGCAAATTCCTTCCATACCTTAGTGATCTGTTTCAGCTATCTGGTGGAACCTCAGCCAGTCTGATGAAAATGATCCTTTCTTACCGTTTCCTTCTGTATGTGGTGACTTAAGTAGACTTTTCGGTTAAAATTCGTTTAACCGGTGGTGGAAATATCTGCATTGATGGCAATAATCCAATCGATGGTGAAATGTTTATTTGAAGTATGATTGATCTCACCCGGTAGCAGTGTCCATTTTGACTATTTTAATTTATCTTTGGTAACCGGCTAAAAGGGAGCCATTTTTCGTAAACCTTGGTTCCGTCCATCCTCGCCGGCTCCGCGCGGCCTCCATTCGCGCTGCCGGCGTCGCATGTGGGCCAGTTTTCGGTGCGTGCGTAAGTGTATTCGTGAAGGGCCCCTTGTTTGACATTTTTCAGTGCATGGTCTAAAAAAATTGGCCTTTCGCAGCCTATATCTGAGAGTCTACTGCCAGTGCAACTTGAGCTTGTCAGAAAGATGTTGGTATTGCTGGCTGACCCTTGGACATTACAAGTTGCCATCGCATAAATCAAAGCAGAAACTGGTCACTGAAAGCTATAAGCAAAGCCCACTTTTAAAAAACAAAGTGCCAAAGTAACTTTGAACCTGTTCCATATGTATGTTCCCGATTTGGTTAATGTTAATCATCTTGGACAGATGGGTGTTGGCACACACCAACAGAACATTGCCAATATATGACCATGTGTTGGAAGTGTGCAAAGCCCCAATACTAACACACAAACAACACCAATGATACTGATGGATCCATCCATTCTCATGCCCATGACAAAAACAACACTCCTACCACAGCATATAGTAAACAGTCAAAATCTTGTAATTGATATATCGGTGCACTGCGTGCTCACCGACTGACCTGCTAATAATTTCCATTGTTTCCTCCTACTAGACTTAGACTGTCCCCAACCTTTTGTTTAAATCCAATTTAGTGCTGGAATGGATTAATACTACCTCCTTACTTCACCTGTTTTTTTTTGTTTGTCAGTCTGCACACTATACCTGGGTGTGGTTTCTAAAATAATGTGAATGCCAAGTGCTCAGATTTTTCAGTGCTTCAAGCTGCCTCATTTACATTTGAAGCATGCATGGTTGCATCAATAATTCCCTTTGCACATTGCAGGCATGTGCCTGGATCTCAAGGGTGTTTTAAGGATCTTTGATGATTGTCTGGTCATAACAACTAGGGGGTTCTTAGCACATGGCTGGCACATGGGTTTGTGAGTCTTTCTCACCTTTATGGGCTCTGATCTGACAAAACTGAGAAGTTATGAAGGAGATGTGACTGAAAAATTCCAGCAAGCCACACCCATGTGACCCTGGGACACTTGCTGCTTGGTGGAAACCAGCCATACTGCTCATGCTGAAAAGCATGATTCACCTTTCAATTCATTACTTGCACAAATCCAGGCTTTATCAAGGAATTGCCCCTTTTGTACATTGTCTTTCACTGATTAAAACAGCCACAATGGAGTACTATTCATAGATGTGAAGACCATGGAATGGTGCATGCCAGAGGATATTGGGGATATTAAAAATAAATAGTATCACATTACGCACTTGCAATGTTTTGTATTTCTACCTCCTCTAAGAAGCTGTTTGCATCACCAAGGCCAGTTTCTGCTTCACCAAAAAGTATCCGGCTATTGGCCATTGCTGCAACCAACCTTGTGAAAGGTGGGATGACAGAACGCCGAAATACGACCACGCAACACGTATTGGCATGTCGCTTGCTACCGCAAGCAACATGCCAACACATGCTGATGTACACAGAAGCATATCAACACGCCACCTAACAGAAGGGGAAGGAAGAATGCCATTTATTGCAAAGTGCTGCTAACCAGCGTTGGTAGCAGTGAGTGCCAGGCAAGAAATCGCGTAATTCCATATGGTGACTTCCCATGACACAGTGGTGTTTGATACCATGTTTTACATGTCTCCAAAGTTTGGCGATCCTGTTCCAGGTGAAACATGCCAGTTCCTGCGGGATATGGAGCCCAAGGGCCCAGCTGCTTTGACAGGATGAAGATGGGATTTGGAATTGGATTCTGCGTCGGCATGGCAAGCGGAGCTATTTTTGGAGGCTTTTCTGCACTGAGGTAAGAAGTCATACTTTGGGTCATACTCGTGGCCACAGCTGCCTCTGAGGTCTAGTCAGCCATCTCTGTGGTCTGGGCAGTCAGCCATCTCTGTGGTATGGGTAGTGATGGTCAGCTGTCTCTGTGGTCTGGGTGGTGATGATCAGCCATCCATGTGGTCTGGGCAACGATCGTCAGACTTCTCTGGTCAGGGCAACGACGGCCAGCCAGCTGTGTGGTCTGGGTATGGATGGCCAGCCATCTCTGTGTTCGGGGTATTGGTGTTCAGCTGTCCTGTGGCATGGACACTGAGGGTCAGCTATGCATAGCTCGCGGTATGGCAAAGTTGAGTGACATTGTTATGGCGTCATATATGCCTGGGTGATTCAAATAGTCTGCACATGTTCACGGCCGTATAGCTAAAAAACTATAGGGCTTTAGGTCTTGAGAAGGGGAGAGATGTGAACTTCACCGAATAATCTTCAAGACGACCTTCTCAGTTCAAAACCCCATCCAAATGGGGAACGCCCCCTTTAAGATTTCTTACCAAAAAACTTTGTCAGAATTGCGACAATCGCACCAGGTTTGTAGAAATCCTGACGGAAATCCCCGGGATCGTCCATCGTCATCATCACCTCGCTCGAGCAAGCCTCGATCTGCCTGCGGCCCCGCTCGTAATCATTCCCACCCTCGGCTGATTTACACCTGTTTGCTTCAGGTACGGGCTTCGTGGCCGGGAGCTGATCAACAATGTGGGCAAAGTGATGCTCCAAGGTGGTGCGGTACCTTCGGCACGTTCATGGCAATAGGCACGGGAATCCGGTGCTGAAGGATCTCGTCTACCGTGTGTATTTCACCAGAATGATTGCTGAGTCTGATCATTATTTGGAGTCGTGTTATGGAGTGCAATGTACGCAAACGTCAAGTTGTGGAATTTATAGTATAACCCCGTGTAAAATAAAGGCTTTGGGAGAAAACACTGACCTGTCTTTGAGATTTATCCTCAAGAGTCTGGAAGTATTGGACCGCCTGCATCGAACGGACATTTATCGGAACATTGATGCGCCCCGTGCGGTTCGAAGGCACATTCTAAAACAATTCAGCCCCATTTCAGCGACTGGTTAACACGCAACAGAGTTCGTGTGCAAGCATGGCCGACGGGGTGAAGGTGTCATGTGCTCAAGTGATGTTTCGCCGTCAACGTTCATGTTCCGAATTTAATTACGCGAAGAACTTGGAACGCGTGCTTGGGAATACGCAACAAGCTTTTCTTAAACGATGCTCCGAACAGAAAGTCATGCACAGAAGCCTTTTGGAATTTATGAAAAATTTCGAGTGATTCTCCACCAAACCAGTGTTCTGAAAGAAGGCTGAAACAGTCCGCATATCACCTAGGCCGTAGAAACAACTTTGTCTCGAACTGCCTTCTTTCAGATACCTAGTGACCATTGAGCCAGTGCCACACCATAGCGGAAAAAAACGGCCGTCCAATAGTACCAGTGACGGGGCGTCGCTGGGCGTTGCCACGGAATGATGTAACACTCTGTACTCATTTCGTGAAACAGCGGATGACCGCATCATTACGGTCGTCGGTTGTTTCCCGGCATTCGTTTCACAGGGCGCATAATTCGTATGGCGTCTCACAGTTTGGTGTCTTCGCATTACCGAATACCTACGTGGCGACGCCAGCCTCCTGGGGACGGTCAGGCGCTGAAGCGCGGTCCGGCCGACCAGGCGGATGCATGGCTACGACCTTTGTATGTCTTTCCACGTGCGCTCAAGCTAATTAATCTCCCACTTGACCTTCATACCTACGAATTTCGCTCCTTGCTTAGTCTTATCGACGCCACAAACGTTGTCACGCGTCGGCTTCAGCTGCGGGTGGTGATTTCAAATAAATGTACCGAACCATGGCCTTCAATATATATATATATATATATATATATATATATATATATATATATATATATATATATATATATATATATATATATATATATATATAGATGATGGCCGGATATCTGTCCTAGTTAAGACCTTTAGCCAAACACCATGGCTCATGCTAGATCAGGCATGCTTCACTGTCTAAGTTTTCGGCGGGTGGTCGCCCCATATTTCTAAAAAGATAAACCGAAGCAAAATACTATTAAAATGGCACAACCATTATGCATACCACACATAGCATATACAATTATGAAGGCAACGTTATGGGCACATTTGGTCGTTCGCATAATTATAGGTCTGGATTAGTTGAGGTCATTGAGTTGAAATGCATCCCGACAAACTAAGTTTAACCACGATTTAATGTTATGCAACTATTTTGAAAAGATGCCGAAGCGCGCGCTGAATTTGGTAAAGCAGTGCCTTAGGTACCTTACTGGAAGCCAATGGAATAGCTAGTCGTTTCATTCAGTAAGTCAATGATGCAGTGTGCCAGGGGTTACATACCACAGGATTACATACAGTGCGTGCTGGACACTAAGCTGTAGCGGTCCGCGCTGGCCGCGCGCTGCCGCTAGCCGTCGTAAAATAGTGGAATAATTGGAAAACAAGAATGGGCCTGAAATCGTAGGATTGTTCGGCACAGACACATCTACGTAAAGATATCCACAGTAATCCATAATCTCCTATATATCGGCACATCTGCGATTTTCTCGGGCATACAACTGATCGAGTGTATTTCTTGGGGCTTATCTTTGTATTATGCATGACCTGATGGGCGGACCCGAAACACAGCAAGAGTGGGTTCCACTCACTGGCCGACCCATCGAGCGTGCGGCATGACCGCGCCGCCGATGGTCAGATTACTCCACGGATGAAGGTACATGGTTGATTGTTTAAAACCATGGCCCTTCACACATTCTCTGATAATTAAATGCAAGACGCAATGTCAGTGCACCCTAGCGATGACCTGTGTTATCGACCCTCAATGTTGACAACACTTTTGAATAGCTCAACGAATGAAAAACAACTGGTCAGTCAGTCCTAACACAAATCTGAGTACAATCGCCGTTTCCAGCTGGCGTAAACCTGCGAGTCGTTTGGTCTGCATTGTGGGTACAACGCACAGCATCTTCCGTTATTCTAACAGAACTGACCGTCCCATGTACTCCTACACAGTTTACCTTGTTGCATCCAGGTGACAGTGTGCGATGGTGATTCTGACCGACCTTTTTCCGCCACGGAGCGTAGTCCGTCCAGGGGGTTCGTCTTGCCGGGGACGTTGTGCCCGAAGGAGAGGTGCCTGACCGTGTGCGTCAGGTTGAACTCGCGTGCAGAAAACGGCTGCATGTCGTGAACTGAAAGCGACCGGCGTCAGCACGGTCTTGTCCAGGCACCTGCTGTTAGCTATGTAAAATGATCCTTACGGACGTAGATGCTCCCATAACTTGCACAGGCACCCCAATTCGACGAATGGGGCATATAGCTGAGAGAGGACGATGGAGAAGAGACAGGGCTCCCACTGACTTCACAGAGCCTTGCCTGTCGGCTCCAACCCCCTTCGTCACATGCTCATGGTAAAGCCGGTCTCAGAGCTTCACTGGCATAGATCCCTGAATTGTCAGCTTGGCTCTCCTTAGAAAAATTTGACCGAAGTCCTTGTTGAAGCCCGAAACGGGTTGTGTATGGGGGAAAACACGCGAACATTAGTTGGTATGAACAAGGCGACACAAGGCAATGTGGTAAGGTAACAATAAATATTTTGACCTGAAGTTTTCTTGGTGGCAGCCCCGCTGGCTATGTCGCAACAATCTATACCGTACTGCAACGTCACGCGGCCGAGGACGTGCACAATGATGGTGCTGCGATAGAAGTGCCCTTCCTATGCAATACTTGACACCATACCGATCATCCTAAACCGCTTACCATGAATATGGCCATGCTGATAGCTGCGACCAGGGGATATGTGGAAGTTTCCGCCCACCTGCAACGTCACGGGGAGGGGGGGGGGGGGGGGGGCATTATGATACCATCACGAATGGTGGAGCACCAGGAACCATCTGTTGTCCAATTGACTGGGGCTACCAACTTCGGTTCTCATTTTTCAAGCGGGCACGCGCCAATTCAAGCTCAGTTGGTTTCCAGCTTACGACACGAGACGCTATGACCGAAGACACTACGACAACTGGATACCTGTACAGCCTAATCGACTTCCGTAGACTTATGCAAAGGCTCCATCTGTTTCACTTTAACATGGTAGCGAAAATTTAGCGTGCTGCAATGCTGGCACGGTTCGTTCCGCCCTCTGACGTCATCTGTCCTTTAGCACGGCCGCTGCCACCGGCCGCGGGTCATCGCAGTCAACGACAAAAAGGGAGCGCCTGAAGCGATTTAAACCCGTCCCGCCACGAACGAATGGATAGGAAGACAGTCGCTTTGACGAACTGAGGCATCGGAACGGACGGACGAATCTTCGCCGAGCTACTGTAGCGCGGAGCAAACACCTCGAAAAGAATGAGACAGACGTGCGTCACAAATGTCCAGCTTGTGAGCCACCTAACAAAATACAGCATTTCGGTGAATGCAATCTCCCTAAAAGGCAACGCCTTATTTTGTACTATGATTTAGTTATTGGATTGTAGAGAGCAAACGCATCGTAAAAGAGACAGATGAGCGTCATGCAATGCGCAATCTTTCATCGACTTTAAATAATTAAATACACTCCGATGAATTCAATCCCTGCAAAAGGTGGCACCCTACATGTTAACAACAGCCATTCTCAACAACCAGCAACAGCCCTCATTTCCCTTAACGTAGAACAAGTTGACGTGTAACTGCAGTGTAAACACCCAGTCTGGGATGCAAGTTTAGCAGTGAGCACCGCAACCGCCTCACAAGTCGTGGCCGAAAGTCAACAGATAAAGGGGTCGTCTGAATGGCAGCTGCAATGACAGCACTCTGTAGGAAGGCCGGCGGCAAGCAACGGGGCTTTTGTGGTGCAGCTGCACTGAAACATGTCCCTGAGAACCCAACAGGCCAAGCCGTAGTCACGTTGATGGAACTGCAGTGAAGCGCAACGTCAAATACGTGAAAAGATACTTTTGACCTATGCATTAACGCGGGCTACTTCCGATGTCGTTGACACCGCACAACTCTCGCGGCGACTGCCAGGTCAGGGCCTTGCATGCCAAGAGCCGACCTCAAAGCGTCCCCCACAGGCAAACAAACTGACCATCATCCGGAGCAGCGAAGGACTAAAAGTCCCCACTCCGGTAGTGACTTGATTGCATCAATATGACGCTGCAAGGAGCATATCAGTCAGCAGGAAATAGCACACGTGTGACTGGAAAATGGCCGTTTACTTACCCGGTTCACCTCGAGATATCCGTAGATTTGGCATCCTTCCTGCAGAGCCTTCAAATCATTTTCGTTCAGTTTCAGCCCCTTGCACTGGTCGATGCTGTTCGGGCTTGGCATAGCCCAGCCTTTCTTCATATATGCGTCTCGCACCTCCATGCATGTGTTGCAGCATCTGGAACGGACAATTATTCAAGGTATCGATAATACTGCTGCCAGCGTCAAACCTCCCTGCGGCGTTCAATGGCTTCAAGCTATGAGCCTGATCTCCTTTTCAAAGTTACACAAAACCTTTGCAATAAATGCTGCCACGATTTTCGAAAATGTTTTGCCGCTGGTGCTGTTACCGCTGAGATTACCGCTGAGAGGTATCTCGGCGCCCTGACCCCGCCCACTGCCAGGACCGCTGCGGGCTTCGTCGCTGAGATTACCGCTGAGAGGTATCTCGGCGCCCTGACCCGCCCACTGCCGGGACCGCTGCGGGCTTCGTCGCTGAGATTACCGCTGAGAGGTATCTCGGCGCCCTGACCCCGCCCACTGCCGGGACCGCTGCGGGCTTCAGCCGGGCCAGTCAGCTCCCCAGGGCTGCAGCAGCAGCTGTGGCACCTACGCTGGGGCCATAACTAGATAATCAAGATAGTCCTGTGGTCACCATATTCGTCCTCACAGCTAGTAATAGGATTCCAGGCCAAAGTCGAATGCGTTCTTTTACGGTGCATTGAAACTACGTATTTTCCGTTCCCAGCTTTTTTAACGGAACTATTTCAGACATCACCATCACAATCGTGGCACAACCTATAATGTTAAATTTTGAATTCCAACGCAGGCGATTCAAAACCTTAACAATGACCTCAAACACGACGTCCATCATATCACAGCGGTAGCTGCGCCAGGAGTGGCGGCCTTTAGACTTGAAAATGTCGGACCAATTTTCAAGGAGCAAACTAGATATATGCTTTAAAAACATCATTGGGATGACAAAAAAAGTTCTGTTAACAAGTCATAATTTCATTTCACGGCAATGGCTCAGCACCAGTGTACAGCCGTTGCTAGCACCAGTCTCAGCTTGCTGAGAAAGCGGCGATACGCTTTAAAGGAAATTCAGTTTAGCATATTTATATTGTCATGAGTGGCGGGCCGTTCCCTTACTTTCGATCATCAGATTCTGCGCCGTAGCAGCTGAGGCATTCGTCCTTGAGCGTCGTCGCGACTTCCGTGGAGTTGGCCTTTGGGCTCGCCACCGACCCAAGCTCTGAAAAGAACAGGACCTCTGTCAGGAAAAGCATTACAACTGTGCAGACACACAGTCTCAGCCCATTCCCACCCCATGGGAAAGCCCGGTATATCATGCTGGCTTTACAAAGTACTTGACACGCGTGACGAAAGTGCATGCAACGACGCGCGAGGGCTCCTCCATATCCATGCCTCTATAAACATGCATGTCACATCCATAACATAAGCGTCCCAAGGCTCAGCGAGGTCTCCATGACGCAGATTCTGTTATCTACATCTAGAGAACTCGTGCTTTATCGCATGAATGCAGTGTTGTGGGTGGCGTGATAATTTAAACCGCTAAAGGCAAACGGAATAGACGAAGAATGATATCATACATCGGCACAGCCCAGCACCTCCCGTGCAGAATAAACCTCTACCACATGTTAAACCCCAAAGGAAGCCATGGAGGATTCCGTGGCCAATTCGTACCCTGAAAGCATATGGGCAGCTCCAGGACCAGATATAAACTGATGGGCCTCTCCCAAGCTCAAGGAAAAGCTCCCTGGATGCGGTAGCATAGTTCAAATCCCCATTCGCTCCTCCCTTGTGCACATCGCTGTACCGTAATGACAGGGCCACACCGCCGATATAACTTACTGTGTTCTCGTTCTGGGTCTTCAATGGGCTTCCCCTCCAGATCCAGTTTTCGTTTGTATATGTTGTGTTCAACGTTGACTTGTGATTCCCCAGATGAGTCCATCGCGTCTATGGAGACGTCTGTAACAGATTATAGTAAGGAGAACCACAGACTGCATACACAACGGACGAGGAACACGTCACGCTTCTCTCGTCGGGAAAGATGCGTATTCCTCGGCGAATTAATGATTCAAACACTGCCCAACCACAACAAACTGCCATTCACACCAGCAAAATACTCATTCCAAGGTGAGAACTCGGCTGTGACGCATACCTGGATCACGGCTGAACTGGCCGAAACGTTGTGTGACTGTCATACTAGACGAGAACGATAGTCCGAACAATTATCATATGCGTGATATCAATACCTCGACGCATTTCTTTCGTAAAGCTGTAACAACGCAGACGGAAAATTCAAAAGATGACAAAGCATTGGGTGAAGGAACGAATTAGTCATGTCTCCATTAGTACAACGCTCGAATGGTGGTACATTCAACTACTATTTGCATGGATTGTGAGGGTTAGTATCATAACTGTGTAAACATGGTGCGATTGTTTGTCAAAGGCACGGATATGCATGGGCGCGCGCGTGGGTGCGTATGTTGTCGTTACTAAGTCGTTGACAATCGATTGTTGCGCGGCTTGTGTGGTATGGAACAAAGCAGACGACCGTGCAAGAAACGTCTATCAACAAATAGGAACACCTATTTTATCTCACCGATGGTAACCGTGAATCGGAGAGCAAACATACAAAACTCACAATTGCATCCAATATTGTGGAAGATGACATCGACGTTGATCTTCAATTTCTCTCCTCGAGTAGTATCCACGAGCAGCTCCTCGTCTTGCTCCACTGCCATGAAGTCTCGGACCTCCGAGACGAACAGCAGCAGGATGATGATGCCGCTGACCAGCGTCACTGCAATAAAAGTCACGCATACCTGAATCTTCCTTACCGCGGACGCCCTTCACTAACACCCTGCGGGGGGGGGGGGGGGCATTTGATAGAAGCGGGCCTCCTCTTCGCTTCTTTTCACGCATCTCTTAGACAAAAAGTAAGTTATGGGTGCCACATGACCATTGTAGTCGGTGCACCCCAAAGCCCAAATAATCATCATCATATAATTTGGGCCCCCACAATATCTCTCCATTGCGGACACTGTAGTGACATGCCGGCATGCGGCGTGTTACGGAAACGCTGCCCGACTCGCACCCCTCACGCCTGCTCACGTGCACTTTCCCGCGTTTTGCGAGTCCCGATTTGCCATAGTTGGCTTGAAACGGTCTCCGGAACAGTGGCGTTTTAAGGGAACTACAACCAACGACATGAATCGCATTATAAAAGTTTTCTTAAACTAAAATTGCGAATTTCTTCGTCATGCCCCGGCATTGTTCCTTGTCCAAACCTCGCGGGGTTGTCATGCCAGCTGACCCGTGCTGAAATGCTAAGGGCATTGAGGCTCGAGGTCTTACGGTCACGGTCACGTCTTGTTGAGTCCTTACCGAACGCCTTCGAAGTTGTAAGCATCTAAGTCACAGCCATCTCATTTCCGACATGTGCTCACGCAGAACCGCCCTGGATCAGTCGTTCGAAAAATCCAGCTGCAGCGAGATCGTGCACTGGCTGATGGCGTGATCGTCCGGATCGTAAAGTACGCTTCCAGAATGTACACTCGTTGTCATCATTACTTCAACACGAGTTCCCACTTTTCAAAGAAAGCAGCCAGGATAGGGGCTGTGTTACTTACCTGAGGCACCTCCGCATGTTTTTATTCTGAAATCTTCCAACGGCTTTGGATAAGCATCAAAATTCCTCAACTTGTCCAGCAATGACTTGATGCCCATGTTGCTGAAGGCCACATACAGCGTGAAAACCGTCCTCAAAGTTCGGTGGGCAAAATAAAACAAGACAGGGCTGCAAGCACAAACAAAGTAGTCATGTAGTCTAACAACCCCAAAAACGTAAAAGTGGCATATCAAGTATTCGTTCGTTATTTGGTCGTCAAAGTGCACCGCGACAGCAAACACAAAGACGAAATAATGAGCAGCAACGTAAGTACCGTAAAAATTATCAACAGCAGCAAACAATCCATGTAGTGATAAGCGAAGGGCGATGAAACAAACATAACGAAACATATGAACAGTGCTAAAACGCATTACGTCCGTAAGCGTTGGTACCGTCATTGCTGGAGCACGCAGCAAAAACTCACTCATTCCTCTATCCATCATGCTTACAACTCCATCCTCCATCCATCATGCTGACAGCTCCATCCTCCATCCATCATGCAATGTAAGAATTATTGTCTCCAGAAGGCGCACATTCCTACCACAAGCACCCACCACATTACGAAATGTGTGAAGCGGTCCTATTGAATCGAACCTTTAGGAACGGCCAGACTACCGACGCAGATACCCAAAACCAGACTGCGCCCAGGTTCAGGCCCACCTAGAAAAGTAGGCGTTAACACCGCCACCCAGCAAGATCCCCCCCCCCCCCCCCCGAATACTGCAACAACGAGGCCGACCACAGACACGACAGTCGACACTAGTCCGAGAGCCCGCCGCCATCGCCGCTGGTGCCATCCCTTCGGCCGACTCCGGTCTCGCCAGTGCCACTGCGCTCCGGGACATGCAGGAGCCGTGAATGCAGCCGGGTCCAGCCCGGATTGGTAGGTCTGTCCGGCGTCCAAAGAACGCACACACATGGGCCTACAACGGCCGTGACAAGGACCACAGGCAGTGGTGTGGCAGCTTCAGAAGGCGCAAACCCAACCTGGCTCCGCCCATCTTTCACTGCACGTGAAGGCATGTGCACAGAAACTGCATGTTCATGCTGACTTCGAGCAACCTATCCTGTCCACTAGTCTTCCTGGCAGCACAAGCAAGAGCAGGTTCCAAAACAGTGGCATCCGCCGGGCAGTGGAAACACTGTCGACAACGATGTGGATGCACGTAGCCCGAGGTGGGGCCCACGCCAGCCAGAGCCCAGGCTGATGACGAAGACTAATGGGCGATCCTTGCCGGTCTGACCGTTCCTGACTGGCCGGATCGCAACAGCCGGAGTCGACACTGGGCAGGACAGTGACTGCTGGGAGATCCTTCCCAGCCTAATCGTCCCCAACACCGAGAATCACGCCTACACCCGTGCAACGGCAGCGTGCAAAAGCGTGAAAACCTGCACCACCTACACCTGTTCCGGCAACGGCAACGATCCAAATCGGGAAAAGGAATGAGGAGACCGTCTCATTCACTTAACAGTGGTCTGGAACGCATTCAGACGCCAACCAAGTGAGCCATAACGAGCTGGATGGATGACCCCATGACCCTGGAGAAGAGCACCAACGTACTAGTACCTATCTCCAAACGTAGAGTTGGTCAAACACAGCATACCACTCGGCACTGGGACAGGGCGCCGACCGTCATTGTGGAACAACGCGAGTAAATGGGCGCTGACGTATGCAAAGCGCGCCACATGAACGACAGCGCGAACCCGTGCGGATATGCGCTATCCGGAGGATCAGACTACTGCAGGTCGAGTAGATCCGCAGGACAAAACGGAAAAGCTCGGACCAAAACATCGCAGATGTATATGGTGCCAGATGCGGATATGTGGTCCCTCAACACGATGATGAACAGATGCCACGGACAGCTACAGCCGGCCACCAACATCGAGAGACCGACTCTGCAGTGACTCCCGGTTCTAAGAAAACGTGCGGCGGATCACAGTGTGAAGGCCTAGCTTATCTGCCTGGCATATGTCCGCGTCACCCATCGATCCAAGACCACGATCACCGACCGCTTTGCCAAGAACTGGACTACGTGAGAAGCGGCACCATGCAGGTGTGACGGTGACCGAGGTTCCCTTCGCCCGCCATTAACTTGCTGTGAGTTGCGACTGCCACACCATCTCGAAATTCAAGACAGGACGAGGCACACGTGATGACGGCCTCGATATCATCCACAGGCCAGTTCTACCCACAGAGAACTTCATGATGTCCTTGCAAAGTGCTAGAGGGAGAATTAAGTCACAACAACATGGGGGACAGCACAGCTGATCACCAATCTACAGGAATGGAAGCTTCTCTATAAAACTGAGAGGCACAGATTATCAGCATCTTCCCACTTGTGCATTGAGCCTGCAGAGAGGCTTCAACAGGCCTGCAGCAGTACCAAACAAACTCAGGCAAGCTGAATGGGAATGGGAATATGATAAAGGGTATGTTTTAACCTTGTACCACAAAGCTGGGTGGTAATCACCATGATTTCACCTGGAATAATCCCTGCTGATGGAAATACAAGTGGAAAAGAAGTGACCAATGAGAATAAATATGCTGAGGGGTATATTAGATGTACAGAAATTGACACACACCCAGTGATACAATAAACACAACTTTCTGATGATACACTTCTATACAAAGTCAAAAAGGTTGTTTTTCCTTTTCTCTATCTGCAGGCTCCTGAGGCTCTTGAACTTCCTACAATATCCCACCTGCACAATTTATCATGATGATTATTTACAACATGATTGAGGTGGTTTACCAAGCACCCATTCCTCAATTTAAGCTCTATGATATGGGCATTTCACCAGTCATATCTGGATGAGAGCAAAAGAAAGGGGCAAACCAGGATCATTCATTATAAACAGAGACATGCCTGGGAGTGATATCTTTGAGGCAACCAGTAATCATTTTTGTCTCTCTTCCATTCTTCTTTTGATAATATGTACAAAAAGTCCTGGTGGTGACCCCATACAAAAGGCTGCATGCCTGCACTGGGCACTATAATCCTCAGTCCTGTGCTTCTGATTGAGGTGCAGCCCAACAATCTCATTATGAACCACAGTTTCTGAAAAATTAGCCTTGCACCCCCAGTATACAGACATTGTGATGTACATCCAGCACCCAGCTTGTGGTGGTTCTTGATTTTTTTCATTTACAGCCTCAAAATCTTTGACTCATTCTTATATACTGCAAATATGTATAGTGAAGTGTCTTAATGCAAAGCATGTGATCACAATATCTTCTTTTGATGTATTGATTTGGACCCCTCCCTTGAACATAACAGTGTGAGTCACTAGCTGTTTAAAGATGTAAATTTCATCATCAGGAAAATCTTGGACATCCCTGCAGACCAGTCATCAAATCATTGGTCCCTGCTATACGCAGGACAATGGGCTAGTCGGTTTCAAGCAGGATCAGCCTGCCCTAAACATCTTGTCAGAGGGTCCACTGACTGCAGGCTTGAATGAATGGTCAGACATAGTTTCTCCAACATGTATCCTTCTACAATCAAACTACAATGACCAAGACTGAGGTGAGCTAATCTACCTGCACTGCATCACTGTGGGTGGGTGTGTTCCATGTGCACATGCATGCCAAGCTCCTAGCTACATACATGTGCAAGGTACTTGCCAATCACAATTCACAAGCCAGAAGCATGCTCCATCATTGCTGCAGTGCACAGAAAACAACATGGATTATTTTTGGCATGGGGGTTAGCAGGAATGATGATTTCCAACAAAATGTTGTGGATGCAAGCACCAGTTTTGGATCCCCTCCTTTAATCATTGTGCACAATGCCATCTTACACTGCAATATTAGATTGTTCATGCACTGGTGCTGTTTCAAGACATGCAAAATGATAGATGATCATAAAACAGGAATACTTTTGGGACATCATATATCCTTGAAACATAACAATTGCAATAATGATGACAGATGTCAAATGCTGTTGTTACTGATGGCACAGATGCTAAGGCAATGGGCTGCAAGGGATTTGGCTGGGAGGTTGGTCAGGGTGGTCACAGGGTAGGTTAGGTTAAGTTAGGTTAGGTTAGATTAGCTTAGACTCTGATTCTTTTTTCCTATTTCCTCAAAAGGCCATTTTCATGGAGGATTTTCAAGCAGATTACACCACCATAGCAATGGTGTCAGCAGCCAGTCAGGAGTATTGTTTTTCTTAGGTGCTTGGACAAAACCTACAGTAATAATCGAAGTGTGAAGGCAAGAGTGCAAATGTACCTGTTTTATGATAATCTACATTTGCTGCCACACTGATAACAATTTATGTGCAATGCTCTTATCACATGAGGTATCTGTCTACTTATACCCCCTTCCATTTAACAACAAAGACAAAATGCTCAGTTTCTCGGATGTTGGGAACAAAGGTGCATCCCAAATCAACTGCAAAATTAAACCATTTCTCAACTGCAGCAAGGCCGACCGGCTCGTGAACTTTTCACACACACAACGTAGGTGAAAAATACGGACAACCTGAGCAGATAGTAGTGTGCCAGGCAGAAACCACTGGTAGTGGTGCTGGGGGCTAAACTGAATCCGGTTAACCTTCCAAAGTGTGGATATTCGGGATAAATGGGTTAAAAAACATTAGTCCACCAAGCACCACCCACGCACGCAGCACGACCTTGCATTATAGTAGCATTTACCAATATGACTTGGCAGCATTTTGGTAGCATTTTGATACAGTCGGCGAGAACTCAGAGGTTTATCTTGAGATATGTCGCCAGAAAAAGGATGCTGGCTGAACCATTGTAAAATGAAGAGCGCCGGCGATTTGTTTCTTACAATCATTCAACGCATGTTTTTTCAGTTTATTTACTATAAATGTAAGGCAGAAGTAATTTCGCGGTAGCGTCTGGCTTATACTCCAGTTAAAAAGGTGAGCCTCAATAATAAATGGGCCATGTCCGGCGTTTTTTTGGGAGGGGGACTTTCACTATCAGGGGGCCCTTTGTCAACCCTTCGGCCCCCTTGCCAAACCTCTGGCTGCGCCCCTGCGCAGACGCCATTACTCACATTGGAGTTGCGTTCTGAGAGCGAGTCGGTGACTGACGTTGAGTTTCATCCATACCTACACATCCAGGGGCGTAGCCAGGTGGTGGGGAGGGGAGGCACAGGGGACATACCTTCCCGGTAGACCCTGAGCGGCCTTCAGGACCCTGGACACAGCGTACTGGCGGCCCGATTGGAGGGCCCGAAGGACTGGCCGGGGAACGACCCGAGGGCGAAAGCCTGACCCTCAAAGATCTACCAAAAGGGCTCGTCGCGCCTGTCGGGGTCCCCTGGACTACAAAGGCCTCTATTTGGGTCCGAGACCACCAATGTTGATCAGTTGCCTCGGATTGGTTTGGATGCTGGGGTCCCATTTACGAATCAGTGGCAAGGCCAGTGTCCACAATAGTTACTGAAGTCCTCCTGCGTCGGCCGCAGTCCCTAAAACATGGCAACTCCCTGTGCCAAGGGCCCGCTTTAGATGAGCCTTTGCCCGAGACCGTTACGTTGGCTGGGGCCCACTTAAACCATAAGGGTAGCAGTCAGGGGCCTTAAGTGCCTAAAAGGAGTCCTGTGTCGGCAAGTGACCCGAGTCGCCGCGAGCAATGTTAGTGGGGTCCAAAGAGGACCAAAGATCAAGGGCCCGATTGGGATCGGATCCGGCTCCCCATCCGTAGTTCCGTGACCTGAAATATCTGTCCGAGATCTTCTATTAAGGTCCACTTCTTAGGGTTCTCTATCTCAATCATATGGGATCTCAACACGGAGTCAAATAGTCGGCTCTGTGGCTGTCTGCTCTCGTGACCCAATTCCCAAGCAGGAACGAGGCCGGGGTGAGCGCTTTGCAATATTCCGGGTCCCTGCACAATGAGGGGCTCATGTGTCTGTCAGGGGCCACAGTGCTTAAAAGGGGTCTTATGGAGGCAAGTGGCCCGAGACGACGGCCAGGAGTGGTGTTTAGGGGGCCCGAAGAAAGCCTAAAGGGTCTCTCGGGACCGAAGATTAAGGGCCCGATTGAAAGCCTCACGGCCAGATGGGCTGGCGATAGGTCGCATTAAGAAAACCTATCCGCAGGGCTGTGATCTCAAATGTCAGGTAGAGGGCTTCTCGTGTCGATTGGGGATCCCTGAGACAAAGCGTTCCACTATTTGGGCCAGAGATCACCAGCACCGAACAGTCGGCTCCGCGTCAGACTGAGCTCTTGGGGCCCATTTCTCAGTGCCGATGACATTCAGTCCCGGACTAACTTCTTAATGCACGATTTGTTGTCCTAAAACATTCAAAGGTGCTCCCTTCAGATGTGTCATCATTTTTGTCCACCCGCTGACCACGGCTTAGTGTTAGCCGCGGGGCCGTCACCGTGCGGCCCATGAATACTGCAACGCTTGGCGTTGAGCTTTTTGGTTCTTAGCATTTGCAACCGCACAGGCTTTAAACTACGCTGCATAGTTTGTTATCACTAATAGATTCTGGCTGAATGTTAAACATTTCCAGACAAACATGGCTTGGCCATGCTCATACAAATTATTTACCTATTTCGACCTCAAATCTACATTCGCAGGACCCCTGATATCTATGAGGAACTCAGCAGAAAAGCCGACAAAGCTTCTGAATTATTTGCGGGTAAGAAAGAGTCCACTGCACCAATAAAAAACGGAGGGCGCCGGCGATTTATCTCCGGCAACCGTTTAACGCAAGATTTCTTTACTTTTTGACCGTAAGATCCAGGCAAAATGTATCTAGCGGTAGCTTCTGGCATCTATTCCAACTATCAAAAGAAAAAAGAAAAACAAACATCGGAGCAAAACATGCCCTTATCAACAAACGTGCCGGATCAAGCGATTTTTTGTAGGGGCCTTTTCACTATCATGAGGCCCTTTCTCAACTCTGTGCCCTTCTCTCCCCTGCTTGCAAAAGATCTGGCTGCGCGCCTACTAGGAGGTGCCTTATCATTTCCTCTGGGGCTTCACATGCCGTGGCCACCTACCTCTTTATTGGCCGCAAGGCAATAAAATAGGGTAGGGCAATAACTAGGGTAGCCACCTAGTTTGTGGCACGTCAATTCAACGGGGTGGATGGAGATCGGCATCTGGAGCTGGGACGAGGCAGAAGATGCAGCAAACATGCACACCCCTACAATCCTTTCACCCAACACCACTTTGAATTTGTCACAAAAACCAAGATCCCAGTATCAAAGCTCGTCCTGTTCGCCGAGCGGCTTCCGCAGAATTAGATAAATTTCTAAAACCGCAAGATGCCACCAAATAACCCTAGAATTCTCTAGGAAAAAGTCTCTAGCGACTAGTAAGCAGAAACAAATATACGCATCTGCGTACAATTCTTGCGCACCTGTTCCGTTTTGTGTATGGTTTGTGCACAAGCCGGGTCGTTCTAAACGGTCCGCGTGGTGGTGTTGTGTGTGTCGGTCACAGGGGTCTGTTTCACGGGGTCGAGGTAAGGCGCATTTTTAAGTCGTACAGGTATGGCATAAAGATAGCGCGGTCAGGGTGTACTTTCCTACCTGGCGTTAGAAAAAATCATTGTACACCATTCATCGTGTTTAAGGCAGGACATATCGTAAATAATCACAAAACAGGTAGATTCATGCTCTTACCTTCAATTTTTTATAATTACGATGGCGATCTCCCGAGCGCCGCACACGCACGGCAGCCGCGGCACTGGCGCCATTACTGCGCGCGGTCACAACATTACTGTGCATGAAGCAGCATCCAGAACCATACAAATGTATGGGGCCAAGGTACCAAGAATCCATGAAATTTGATCCTCGACGCCAACGGGACGATGGGTTGCAGGGGGATTGGGTGGGGAATGTAAAGCAAAATGAGAACATGGTGTCTAAATAAAAGCTCGCTATACGGCACCTATATATGGCATGGAACATGGGTGCCAATGGGACACTGGGTTGAAGGGGATATAGGGTGGGGAGGTTAAGTTAGGTTAGGTTAGGTTAGGTTAGGTTAGGTTAGGTTAGGTTAGGTTAGGTTAGGTTAAGTTTTGAAGAAAGGCAAAAAGACTATGGCTGATTGTTTTAAAAAATATCAGTCATAGGCATATCATTTTTCATAATATAAGATCCCAATTTGCCCCTTCATATTTCTTTCACACAGATAGGGCTGTGGTAAAATGTCTATTTGATTGAGATCTGTTTGGAGAATAAGTGTGAATAAAGAATAAAAAGGATAAGAAAAACAATAACTTTAACCAGCACTTTTCAACCAATCATCAAGTAAATCATGCAGGTGAGGATACCATAGGAAGTTTGTGAACCTTATTCTTTAAGGGGGGTAGAAAACAACTTTTTTGACTTTTTTTATAAAAGTGCATGATTAAAAAAGTTTTTTTTTACATTATCATTAGATGCACCTCAGTTTTCACACATATGCACATCTACTGCTTTGGGTATTTTTCCCCATTGGCTACTTCTTGTCTGGATGTATTTCCACCAGCAGAGGTTATTCCAGGTGACAACATGGTGATTACCACCCAGCTTTGCAGTACAAGGTTAAAACATACCCTTTATCATATTCCCATTCCCATGCAACTCACCTGAGTTTGTTTGATAGTGCTACAGGCCTGTTGTAGCCTCTCTGCAGGCTCAATGCACAAGTGGGAATAGGCTGATAATCTGTGCCTCTCAGTTTTATAGAGAAGCTTCCATTCCTGTAGATTGGTGATCAGCTGTGCTGTTCCTCATGTTGTTGTGACTTAATTCTCCCTCTAGCACTTTGCAAGGACGTCATGGAGTTCTCTATTGGTAGAACTGGCCTGTGGATGACATCGAGGCCGTCATCAACACGTGTGCCTCGTCCAGTCTTGAATTTCGAGATGGTGTGGCAGTCGCAACTGGCAGCAAGTTAATGGCGGGCGAAGGGAACCTCGGTTACCGTCACACCTGCATGGTGCCGCTTCTCACGTAGTCCAGTTCTTGGCAAAGCGGTCGGTGGTCGTGGTCTTGGATCGATGGGTGACGCGGACATATGCCAGGCAGATAAGCTAGGCCTTCACACTGTGATCCGCTGCACATTTTCTTAGAACCGGGAGTCACTGCAGAGTCGGTCTCTCGATGTTGGTGGCCAGTCGTAGCTGCGCGTGGTATCCGTTCATCAACTTATTGAGGCTCATTTTCATCTTACATATCCCCATCTGGAACCATATCTGCGATGCTTTGCCCGAGCTTTTCCGTCTTCTCCTTCTGGAATACACGACCAGCTGAATTCAGGGGCCCCGGCCCGCAGGGCTGGCTCTCCGATGACAGCCAGAGGGCCCTGCGCGCCGATCAGGGGGCCCTGAGTCGATAAGGACCCATATGTCAATTAGACATCATCAGCCACGCACAGTCGGCTCCGTGGCGGCGTGGGTCTGATGGCTCATTTCCCAAGCAGGGACAAAGCCGTAACCAACGATTTACATCCGTCGAAGCTCCAGCTTTTATTAGGGCCCCACAACACCTAGCGGGGATGCTGTGTTGGCAAGGGGCCCCGAGTCAGGTAGAGGCAGGTCTCAGAGAGGCCTGAAGGAAGCCTGGAGGGCCCGCCGGAATCGATGATCAAGGGCCCGATGGGAGGGTCTGAGGGCACGAAGGGCTGTTGGGATTATTATTCAAGGGGCCCCGACCTGCGGGACGGATCCTCAAATGACAGTCAAAGAGCTCTTCGCGTCGATCGGGGACCCACTGAGTCCATATGGGCCTATATATATGTCGGTCGGACACCACCAGTACCGAACAGTCGGCTCCGTGTCGTTATGGGCCTGGGGTCCACTTCCCAATAAGCTACATAGCTGGGGCCAGTGATTCACACTGTTTGGGCCCCCTGTATCTGTCAAGGGGCCCACAGTGCCCAACGGTCCTGGGATTGCAAGGGGCCCCCGAGCCGTCCAAGGGGAATGTTTGATGAGGCTCGAAGAGGCGCCCGGCGGCCCAACGGAACCGACAGTCAAAGACCCGGTTGGGGGACGTGAGGACCCGAAGGACTGGCTGCAGGTCACATAAAGAATCGTGGCCTGTAGGAATGTGACCTGAAATATCAGTCAGAGGTCCCCTTGCACCGTTTGAGGACCCATGAGGCGATGCAGGTATCTCAGTCAGCCAGAGACCACCAACACCGAACAGTTGGCTCCATATCAGTCTGAACCCTGGAGCCCATTTGTCAAGCAGGAAGAAGGCCGGGGTCTGCGATTTGTAACGTTCGGGGTCCCTGACACAATGGGGGGGGGGGGGGGGGGGGCTCCTGTGTCGGTCATGGGCCACAGTACGTCACAGGGGTCTTGTGACGGCATGTGACTCCGAGTCGGCCTGGGGCGGTATTTGAGGGGTGCCTGAAGAGGGGCCGAAAGGTCTCTGGAAACCGAAGATCAAGGGCTCTTTTGGAAGGCTGAAGAGCCCCACGGGCTCCCTCTGAATCCCACTAAGGAGTAGTGCTGTGATCTCGAATGTCAGAGAGTCTCATGCACCGATTTTGGCTCCATGATACAGAGTGTCCCTCTGTTTCGGCCGGAGATCACCGATCGCGGCACCTGACATATGGGATGGCAGGATTTGAATGGGGTCGCTATAGCGTCATGCTTGCCTGAATTGCCCTGAAAAAGCCTACACATCATGACGTAACTCAGGAACTAGGGTGCGTTAGGCCTTAAGAAGGGTAGGACTTTAAACTGCACGGAATAATCTTCAAAAAAACTATTTCACTACGGCAGTACATACGAATACACTCACTCTATTGGATATTACAATGAAGTATTGCGCTACCTCGTGAGTCAAGGCATTTTTAATACCACTTCAGCGACATTTCAGGGTTGACTACAGGCGTCCAAAAATGCTTGGTCAAAACAATCACCTCCACTATGGAAGGCTGGCGCGCTTGGCTTTGGAATTACCTAGGCTGTGGTATTTTGCCATTCACTTCGGATCAGTACGGAACATTTATAAAATTAGCAAAATGAGAAGAGTTGCGTCGGGTGACTCCGGTCAGCCAGCAGTGAAAAGTAACGTCTTTTGTGAAACTGTTTGCAGGTGGTGCTCGCCATCCGTTGCTTCATGCGATGGCAAGACTGCAGAACGGCCTTGGCAAGACGGACACGACCTTGGAAACGCCACAGTACGCGCTTCTCTGGGACTCTATACACAATTTGAGGGGTGACCTGGAGGACAGGTACAACCTCACCCTGAATGTGGATGGGAAGGGTTTGTACTTGAGCGGTCTGGGTGAAGAAGACGTGTCGGCTTCGCATCGGCTGAACGTGCCGTTTCCGCTGCGGTCGTCGACCACTGCTGCTGACTACGACGACCAGCAAGACCCGGCGCGTGCCGACTGTGACGGTGCGGCCTTCCCATTTCTGACTGGAGCTCTCATTAAAGGTGCGTCAAGCAAGTCCGACTGAATGACCCTAAGCATGCTGATAGTTGAAGCATGGCGTAGTCTGTCTTAATGTGTCATCGATTGGCGTTTGGATGACGTTCTTAGATATAATGCAGCCTATGATATAATACCGACGTATCTGTCTATCTGCATAGCTATGTATATATCTATCTGTGTATATATAGAGTTTATAACTCTCTCTCTATATATATATAGAGTTTATAAATATGTATATATATATATATATATATATATATATATATATATACATACACGTTATCTTCTATATAGCATGCTTAGTGAACGCCAACACCCCCGCCGAACTACAGACAGTTTAATCACAACTCGTCAACCAAGCTTTATTTGATATTTGCATGTAGTGATATGTGGCACAAATTTGCATTTTGAATTGCAATGTGACATGTTGTTCGTTGTGATGTTATGCTGGCATGTTAATCACCACGCTGCTTGGACCGAAAATGCGGGGATGCTCATTAATGGATATCCTCAATCATCGTTATCACTTTGCTGCTGAGACCGAGGATAGGGGATGGTTATCTGTATATTTTCTTACGGCGTTTAAACCATTCACCTTTGTTGTATATCTTAAATATTTGAATGCATGCGCCGCAACTACTTATTCTTATCTTCACAAACTAACATGCTTTTTAAAGTTGAAGGTAACGTGAAGTCCGAGGCAAACTCTACCCTTCGAGCTAACGGAGAAGGACGGTGTTTCGGTGTAAGAGTTTATGTCTTGGATGTTTGGGTTTGCTTTGATGCCCGAGCAGGTTAATAGGTGGGCGGGCCCCATCTAGTAAGCTGCTCGGGCCGGTGGCGGATGCAGTGCGAGGGGGGGGGGGGAGAGGCACGGAACCATGCCCCCATGGACCATGCCGAGGAGACCTTAAGGCTCCGAAGGGGCCCATAGCCGGCCGAACGGACAGAGTTTTTTTTACGAGAACACCAAATTGGACGCCTTTTGGCCCACAGATGACCAAGAACAATTGATAGCACAAGTAAAGAGTTCATAAGCACGATTGGTGCTAGCAAACGTGCCGACAACAAATCAAACGCGGTCGCTGCCTTCAGTTACAGGCTGCCAAATGCTAGATTTAAACCAAATCTTTTGCCCAGAATTGCAGGTCTGGTACAAGTCTCGCATTATGCTGCAATCTATATGCCAACGTTCGTTCTACCCGGCATCTATCACCCTGTAACTCTGCGGTGTATGTGGTGTATGCAGTTCTTCGTGTGTTCCTTACCTGCCGGCGGTCTGGGCTTGTAAACTGTTCTCTGGAGGCTTAAGACGATTTCAAGTTTGTCGTGACGTATCATCCACGTATTCTTCGGATCTTCTCAGACAAACTCGTATTGCAAGACAAAAATACCGCTGGTATTGGTCCTTCCTTTCGTTTTCTTGCTTGCGCAACATGCGCTTGGGCGTCTGATCAACAATACCTTCGTCGCATCAGTCCGTGCGGAATGCCTCTGTCAGGTGATTTAGTTTTCTCTTTCTAGTGACATCATCGCTGATGCTACTTTACCAAACGTTGCACCCATTTCTATCCCAGATTAGCCAGACATGCCCGTAACAGCATGAGCTAAACTGCGAAGCTTGGTGCCCTTCTCGGTGACCTCAAGTGATATGAAAACGTGTACCATTTTTCTGTGACTTTAGTCGGTATGGCCGAATGTGAGTGATTCGGCCCATGTCAGTAGATCGGCGCTGTGAGCACCAGTGCGTGGTATCATTTAGATACCGGCTATGTATCGTGACGCTTACATTTTTTTTGTTTGTTACAGGTGGACCTGCCGACCCGGTGCGGTGTGATGTTGACGAATACTGGAAACGGCGCGCTGCAGCCCACTGTTCGGCGAAGCGTGCCGGTCGTCTCGTCAAAGATAACCCGAAAAGTAAGAATGGCGTTCGCCTGACAATGAGTGGCTGTGAGAGATACAGTGTCTTGGGTCCGCAGGTACAGCGCCGAACCTACTTTGTGGCACGAGATGTGCAAAGTGGCGCGTGGGCCAAAAGAGCTCGTAGTGAAGATTTACCTATATGGATTTCAGGAATTGTCCTAAGTCTTTTATTTGAGCTATTCGCAAAAACTTAGTCATCAAAAATGTAAAGTGTTCCCACATCCATAATCTTTGCTACTATCGCGCATCACTCTTGAATCAACGTACTGAAATTTTCCAACGCATTTTATGAAATGCTTAGTGTCAAATCGCATAAGTGTCAAACAACTATGAAAACATTGTTAGTAATCGTTAAAGTTTTCACTCCGGTGGAAAATGACTGTCGATGTGTTTTCATCATTCTATGGTACCCTCCACATGCATCGTGTTGAAAAAGCCGTGTTCCTTTTGCGAACATCGAACGAAATTGCAGAAAAAGTTTGCCATCGGTTGGATTGAGGCGCAGGTGTAATGGAGTATTCGTACCATTTGGTTCATATCTGCTACCGATTCGGGGCGCTGTGACTGACATAATTCCAGCACCGTGGGCTCATTTTTGGACTGATACATAGCTTTGCACTTGTACGGCGTGCTCAGTTTCCCAAAGCGTTCGATTTAGCAGCGGGATAACTCAAATGTCTAGTTATCGCACCATATCCAACATTTTGTGTTCGCAGAGCTGTTTAGTGTTCCTTATAGCAAAACAGTGTACTGAAATACTTCAAAAGGAATATTTCGCATTTGAAAATATTGAGGTAAGCATCGGACAAGATGAAACAATCTCGCTTATAACTGTTGTTATACTGCTAAGTAGAAAATACTGCTGTTGACAACACGATCTCTCTGTCTAGTAAATGCGCTCCTTGATATGCCATTGCTTGATTACGTCATTGTATCTTGCACAACATTCATTGAGAGCCAGTTGACGGCCGTTATATCTGGAAATCGATGAACGCCAGATGTGAATGACTGGACCCGTATGTTTTTATTGTTCTCGATCACCGCATGGCTTATTGAATGACACGATTTTAATGGCGATATTATGACGCATGAATACCAAGGTGACCTCTGAATACTCTCCCAAATGACTCTCCCGCATCTTTGCGGTCTTTAAGCTCAGGAACCAGAGGGCGTGAGGTCTTAAAGATGACAGAGCCATGATCTGCATGAAAAGGTCTTGATTGTGGCCATTTAAGTTCAAAGCACTGTACAAATGAGGAGCGCTCCCCTTATTACGCGCCCGGGCGGCCGTTTGGATATCCTCCGCTCAGGTGGAGCCAAGTTGAACCCCCTGATAGCTAGGCCAATGGAGCTAGAAACATCAAATTTATGGGGCAGGCTGGTCTGTGTGTGAACCCACTTGTTTAAAAATTGTGGCCAGTTGGTCATGACTTGGGTCAAGTTAGGTCAAAAAAGGTCAAACTCAAGATTGCTGTCCAGAGTGCCCCCTGACCCCATGCAACCGCCTTGAACCTATATATCTGTTCTAAGGAGTGGTCACTGGTGCTCATTTTAGGCCAGTGACCCCGTTTGCCTTCGTAGTCACAGTGACCAACGCACGTTCGTACGTTCGTTCCTAAAAACAACAGGTTGATCTGGGTCATTTTAGGTTAGTGACCCGCTCTGCCCGTTGAGAAGCCCATGAAAGATGTCTGTGGCAATCCCTGTTTTCAAGAAATTCGAAATACACATCAGAAACTATCTCATGGATCAGGCCCTCCAGTAAACAAAGGTCCATTTTGACCTGGGTGTGACCCTCACACATGAACCTAGGTCAGTGGAATCTGTTGTAAATGTAAATGCAGTTGTTTGATCGCCCAAGAAGCTATCTCAGAGATGTATGACTTTGTATAATACTCCGTTGTCACGTCAGATTAAACAGCTCCCGTTAAGTCGTTCGAATTGAAAATACATCGCACCTTTGCTGACAGCCACGCTCTGACTTGTTTTTGGTTACAGCTATACAGTTATGCAAAATTTGGCGCGGCTACGAAGCGCCGTTCAGTAATTATTCTGTAAAGGGTTTCGTGTGGCCAAATCCCGCATGTTGTGCGTTCCGCCTCTTGCAGTATGTTCGGACTTGTTTGTGTGCGTACGCATTAGCTGTCTGAACTGTATGCTCCGCTTGAGTTTGAAGCACTGGACGGCAGCATCACAGTGTCGCCATCTGATACTAGAGGTAACAGCCGCGCACCATGGCGACATACCGTTCGCGAGAGAACTCGGCATGTTGCGGCTCCGGCATCCGAAGCCGCTGGGGAAAACCAAAGGTGACCTAGACTCATTGTTATCTGCAACGATGCTGTGAGTGACCCAAGCAGCGCGCTGTGACGGTGGCCATGGGGCGCCCCGGTCTGCACCGCAGCCTGCTCGGAGGCTGCTGCTGTGCCACTACCGGAGCGGGGTCGCCGGCCGCCCAGCTCATGACGGCTCGCGTTGTCCCGTTCCAGTGGACCTGGACGTCCTGCTGAGGGCAGCTCGTGACCCGGCTGTGACCCATCTGCCGAACGCGGCGTTCCAGATGAGGAACGCCTTGCCGTTCGTCCACTTCCTCACCCACAACCCAGTCTTCATGGGCTGGGATACGGTAGGAACGCTCTTGTTTTGTCTTTTCCTACGGATGGTCGGCTTGTAGTATGTAGCGTTTTTCTTCTAAATGTTCTAATGGGTTGGAGCCTCATACCGTAGCACAGGTTCTATATAAAGGCAAAACGGTGTCACTTTTACGTTGGAAACATGTGTTTTGAAGATGCACTTGCGTCTTGATATCTTTTCTTTCCTAAAACACGATCCCACCATTGGTTTCTGGACAGTGCGTGGTTCATTTGTATGTGGAAGGGATGTCTACTCGAACTAGTAACGCGTCAGATTGTCCATAATGCAACAGCAAGAAGATGAAACGCATTTCTTTTTGTACCTATCCGATCGTGATGACCATTTGTGGCGCAGATCGTAACGCTGGTGCCCTGTTCCATTGCAGAAGCACAACTGGCTCTACGCAGGCGGCTGCGTTTCTGTGCTGCCCAAATCCAGCATTCTCGCCCACGTTCGCGGCGACAGCGTCGGTAAATGGTGCCTCCGCACGGTTGCTCTCGTTGTCCATCCTCTCAGGCGAAGCCGACGCATGATTGTTCGTCCCAGCGTGGATGTGTTCATGCCGGCATGCGTTCGCGCGTACCGATCGGGCTGTGTACTTCAAACAGATCCGCGTGTATTTTTTTCAGCTTAATGGCATCTGGGTCTAATCTCTATTCTACTTAAATCTGCACCAGCTGCGTGGTCTCCGCTCCGGCGCCATCTTTATCACGGTATGACCACTGTTTCAACGTGGTGTGCCAGCATGGTCTGCAGCTGGACGTGGTCTCCGTTCCAGCGCTGGCTCACCTGACCGACTGTGAGGTGGGTGACGCCTGCCCGCTGGCGCTGCACGGTGAAGACGCCATGACGCTCAACTGGCCCTACAACGAGCCCGTGCTGCAGGTGCAGACCGTCGACGACGAGCACGGTATACCCCGGCGCGCGCTGGGACACGCACTGGCCGCGGCTCGCAGTCGGCTCTGACCGGCCTCTGATGGCCGCCTGACCGAGGCGTGGTAGTTGTGTGCAGTCTACAAACGCCCGCCTCGCGCTGCCGACGTCATTAGGTGCTTGTAAAAATGTTGCTTATCTCGTTTCCAAGGCATTGTCAATCATCGAAAGCAGGGACGTAAAGCTCGGTCGCCGCAGACACAATGCTGTGCCTGGTTAAAAGCTCACAAGAACTGTTCCTCATTGGAAAATGCGATATTGAGACAAGCATCACACGAGGGTAAAAACTCGTATCTGTTGGGATGCTTTGAAGTACAAAACACTTTTATATCACAAAATTACCCTATTATCCCTATTTTGTGAATATGCTCCTCAGTTAATCATGATTTGATAACATCATGGAAAGTTTCTCTGACATCACAGTCGCCGCCCGACCGGCCGTGTCAGAGTTGCCACTGTAGCGGGCGGCGTCACTGACTTGGCATTACCGCCTCGCCCCGTGGCAGTACCGCCTCGCTCTGTGGCAGTACCGCCTCGCTCTGTGGCAGTACCGCCTCGCTCTGTTGCAGTACTGTCTCGCTCTGTCACGGCACGGTCCTGCTCTGTCACAATGTGGGCGCCCCGCCCTAATACCGACTCTCTGTGACTTCTGTCTCAATGTAAAGCTGCTCTGTCACTGCACGCACCCATCCCGCCGTACCACTGACAGGGTCCGTCCCAGTGCTCACCCGATCCGTCTTACAATAGACCTTCTCTGTCGCTGCAGTATACCCTCTGTCAGTGCAGTAGACCCTCTGTCACTGCACGCACCCACTCCGCCGCACTGCTGACCGGCTCCGTGCCAGTGCTCACCCGATCCGTCATACAATAGACCTCTGTCAGTGCAGTAGACCCTATGTGTCATCACTGCTGTAGACCTTCTTTGTCACTGCAGTAGACCCTCTCGCTCACTGCAGTGGACCCTATCTATCTCTGCAGTAGACCTTATCTATCAATGCAGTAGACCTCTGTCGCTGCAGTAGACCTTCTGTCACTGCAGTAGACCCTCTGTCACTACAATAGACCCTCTCCGTTGCAACAGTGGGCCCTTTCCGTCACACAGCACACCCTCTCCGCCACTTCATTGGCCTAGTCCATCACAATACCGACCCGATCCGTTTCACAGCAGAGCCTCTCCTTCACTGCATTGACCGGGGACCGTCACATTACCGATCCGGTCCGTCTCACAGCAAAGCTTTTCCGTCACTGCGTTGATCGGGTCCGCCACAATAATGTCCCGTGTCGTGACAGCGCTGACACGTCCCGTGACATTATCCATCCTCTCCGTTCAATAACTGATCCTGTTTGTCGCAGTACATGACAGCGCTGACACGTCCCGTGACATTATCCATCCTCTCCGTTCAATAACTGATCCTGTTTGTCGCAGTACATGACAGCGCTGACACGTCCCGTGACATTATCCATCCTCTTCGTTCAATAACTGATCCTGTTTGTCGCAGTACATGACAGCGCTGACACGTCCCGTGACATTATCCATCCTCTCCGTTCAATAACTGATCCTGTTTGTCGCAGTACATGACAGCGCTGACACGTCCCGTGACATTATCCATCCTCTCCGTTCAATAACTGATCCTGTTTGTCGCAGTACATGACAGCGCTGACACGTCCCGTGACATTATCCATCCTCTCCGTCAGATCCCTGATCCTGTCTGCCGCACCCGCTCCGCCTCGGTGCTGACGCGCTCTGTCGGCCGGCAGTGGCGCTGGCGGTGCGGAGTCAGGAGGCGGCACGCTACTGCCCCCTGCAGGGGGGCGTGCGGCTCTCGTGGTGCGATGAGGTCCTCTCGCCGACGCCGCTAACGGCGGCCGTCTGTCAGCCGACGCTGGCCGGACGGTGGACCACTGCCGACGCCGCCGGCCGACTCCTGCTCCGGGACGCAGCGGCCTCGTGAGTGCTTTAGTCGTACAAATCGTGGCGATATCAATACCTTAGACGGCGCCCCAAGTGGAAGTCGGCCGGGCGAAATGCTTCTGTTGGGGGTCATGCCGAACAATAGTCATACTTTCTTGATATAAGACGGCTTCAAAGTATGCTAAGCTGCCAGGACGCAGACAGAGTGTTGCGCGTGTTGTTGCGATAAAAAATTTTCCTACCGTGCGCAGGCGAATGGTTCTTCCCGCGTACTTTTGCGTCTTGTGTAGCGCCCATCCGACTGCTCGCCCGCTGGACAGAGCTCAGCTCCGATGGGCGGCTGACTGATGCTTTGAGCGTCAAAACTGGCTTTCCCTAACATAGAAAGCGTCTTCTGACCTCTGTCAAGACGGCCTGGGTCGTGTCACTGACGCCCGCTCGCTGCGGCCAGTGGCCCAGGCCAGTGTCCGTGCCGCCGTGTCACTGACGCCCGCTCGCTGCGGCCAGTGGCCCAGGCCAGTGTCCGTGCCGCCGTGTCACTGACGCCCGCTCGCTGCGGCCAGTGGCCCAGGCCAGTGTCCGTGCCGCCGTGTCACTGACGCCCGCTCGCTGCGGCCAGTGGCCCAGGCCAATGTCCGTGCCGCCGTGTCACTGACGCCCGCTTGCTGCGGCCAGTGGCCCAGGCCAGTGTCCGTGCCGCCGTGTCACTGACGCCCGCTCGCTACGGCCAGTGGCCCAGGCCAGTGTCCGTGCCGCCGTATCACTGACGCCCGCTCCCTGCGGCCAGTGGCCCAGGCCGGTGTCCGTGCCGCCGTGTCACTGACGCCCGCTCGCTGCGGCCAGTGGCCTAGGCCAGTGTCCGTGCCGCCGTGTCACTGGCGCCCGCTCGCTGGGACTGTGTGCTCCAGGAGGACCGTCCAGCAGATCCAGCTGCCCGAGGTGGCGCGGCCCTACGGCTGGTTCGGCCTGCACGCCGGACCGGACCAGCACCGGCTGCTGGCCGCCTCATGGGAGTGCATGTACACGATCGACACCAGGGTACGACCACCGCCGTCCACGTCAGGCCTATATAGGCGTGCGCTTGTGGGGAAATGCTCCTTTACTTGCGTATGAAAATCACATTTTTTTGTGAAGTCTGCTGGTTTGAGGCCTGGAAGTGAGTACCGATGATTGGGACCAGCGGCGCTGTATCGACTGCCTGTACAAGTACCGACCGAACCGCGCTCCGTGAGTGTCGTGCTGACAGGTGCTGATCCTGGCCCTTCGGGGATGTTTTTATCTTGGCCCCACAAGGCGCTTCAAGGGACCCCATTCTCCCAACAGCTTGAAAGCCAAGCAAGATAGAGCCACGTGGAGAGCGGCTTTGGAAAGCTCACACCAAAGTGTATGAACAGACGGACAGTGTATGACAGATGTGAATGAACAATGCTGACTATGCGATTTGACAGATCATGTCAGGTCATAAGGCTCAGATGATTTTATATATTTTCTCGTCTCAAGAATGCATCGCGTCACAATGCATATAAATTTGATCAGACGGGCATAAATGGAAATCGGCAGTCGTGACCTTATGTGTCATGTCACATAGACGTAGGAACTGGGGTGTCCGGGGGTGCCATGGCCATTGGCGAATCCAGGGGAGGGGGATACGGTCATGTCCCCCCCCCCCAAAAAAAAAGCTCGGAAAGGGCTCTTGGGAAATATCAAAACTGCAGCCCGGCAATTTTTCTAAAGCTTTGCAAACTATCACAAATGGCTGGATGATGGAAACTAAAGCTGGTGAAACACAAAAACTCCATGCTTCACACAAATATCTTCATTTTGAACAGCATTAGATGCTCTCATATTCGCGGCACAAATAGCATTTTTTTGGACCGGGACCACCATAATTGTCTTCTCAGCTTGCTGATTTAGTGCTAACAGGAGGAGCAGTGGTCTGCGCTCGGCGTCACACGGTTTTTTGGCGCCGGTGCGTGGAGGGTCGGTCGGGGCAGTCCTTGTCCCGGCACCGGCTCACCGTCATGCAAACCCAAGCAACGCTTGGCGACTTTTTCAAGAAAAAGAAAGGGCTAATTTGTGCAATTTCCTAACCAGAGCTCATCAGCGTGAGGTCCCAAGGACCAGGGCCTTATGCTAGGTTTTAGTGATATTTTGTCCGGGAAGGAGCGTATCCAGGGCTAGGACTCAGGGTCCTGTCCATGGTACAGCCATCCTCGGGGACATGACTACATACACAGACGAGGATGGTGGTACGAACAATTAGGCCATCCGCGGTCCTGTCCATGGTACAGCCATCCTCAGGGACATGACTACATACACAGACGAGGATGGTGGTACGAACAATTAGGCGATCCGCGACGCTAGTGCCAGGTCTCAATCTTTCTGTAAAACATTGTGACTGCGTGTTCCGTGATACGGCTGCTGGATACAGCGGCTTTGTGTTGCCCGAGACGGATCCCTGTGTCTTACGGCAGAGTGCGAACTCACAGTCTACCATGGAGTGTTGGAGGTTTTCACCGATTCGGCGAGCGCTGATGTGTCGTACTCCGTGCTGTGTGTACAAGTACATCTGTGTTGACGCCTTCGCGTGGTCCGTTTCGTCAGGCGCCGGAAGCGGCAGTGACTTTCCGCCTGTCGGCAAATGATCACCTATGCCCGCCTGGGGACCGCCTGCACGCTCTGCGACGCAGCGTTTGCCGGGACCACCTGAGCCTGGTGACGAGCAGCCGACACCTGAACGTGCTGGACGACCGGTGGCCGGCGGCGCCGTGGCTGCGCTCGCGGCTGACAGTGCCGCAGGCGCCGCTCTACCTGGGCAGCGCCGCGGGGCCGCACGGCGGCGAGCTGGTGGCCGTGGCCGCCCAGGCCGATCCGCACGTGCAGTGTCTGGCGTACGACTGGGGCGTCGGCCAGGAGGTGGCCGGCTCCCGGCTGTTGGGCTGCGCGCGGCCGCCGCTGCGGGCGGCCGGTCTGGAGGCGACGCGTCGTGCCAGGCTGCCGACGACCGGCCTGAGCGTCCACCGACTGGTGGCAGGCGGCGTCCACCTGTACTCGACCAATAGCTGCGGTGATGTGTTCGTCCACCCGATGGCGGCGGCAGGCGCACCCGGCGTCCGGCCGGACAGCGGCTCCCGCCGCCGCCGCCGCCGCAAGTGTCGCCGCCTGGTGACCACCTGGTGCCGCGCCGTTGATCGGCAGCGCCTGGAGGTGGCCGCCGACACTGTGCAGGAGTGCGATCAACAACATCGGTGGGCGGGTGACCTGACAGGTGAGCTAGGCGACCGTGGTGTGCGCGGCAGGCGTAGCCGACAAAGCTCCCCGGTCGGCTGATACAGCAGTCTGTCGCGTTTTCTGGTGCCAAGGAGCAGCTGAAGTGTTTCGTGTTGCGTACTCGCCTACCGCATCCGGGGTACTTTCCTGCCCAGCCACTACATCCTGTAAATTAGAAGTGACCCCAGCGAGCCGCGTTAGCTCTACCCCACCACATCCGCCATGACAGAAGCATATAGTATGCGAATTTCTAACGGACCCATTCCGTCTGGAGCTGTAGCGAAAAAAGGAAGGGGGTCAAGCAACTAGTGAGTCAGCTTAAAGGGAATCGTTTAATTTGAAGATATTGAAGCAACCATCAGTTATGATGAAACAAGCTCTTATATAACTTTGGTATACTTTTAAGCGGATAAGACTGTTTAAGTCATCCAAATCTGTTTACTAATATGCTCCTCGATACGTCATTGTTTGATTGCATCATCGCACCTTGCACAACATTGATTGAGAACCTCAGCTGGTGACGACGGCCGTGCTATCAGACGGCCGTCCTATCTGGAAATCGTGCTCGCGAACGCCTCATATGAACGACTGGACCATTATATTTGCTCAGCCTTGATAGCCGCATTGCTTCGAAATGGCAGGATTTGAATGGCGTTATTATGACGTCATGAATTTCATGGTGACTGAAGTACTCTCCCCATTCTCGCGGGCGTATAGCCCAGAAACTGATGGCGTTTAGGTCTCAAAAAGGGCAGGGCTGTCAACTGCACCGAAATATATCTTCAAGATGGCTACGTCATTTCAAAACGCCATATAAATATGGAACATTGCTTTGAATGGATCTCCGATGTGGCAATGTTGTGATACATAATGACTCAGCACTCATGCATGTTGCATGCATGCAAGACGCTTAGATGCGTGCATGCATGCATTTGTTGTCTGACTGGGTGTTTGTAGTGGCGCCTGATGCGCTTCCAAGTAATCTAACATGGAAAAGCGTACATGAGTTTTATAGGAAGTCACATACAATTCGATTTCATTGCTGTTTTTCACGGATAATTTATAGTGTTGTTTTATCGTTTGATTTATCTTGAAAACGAAAGGCTCATTTTGGAATCCAGAAATCTACTGGGCGACTAACGTGGGAGAGATCGTTTACCAACATCCAGCACCAAAATCTGACCTGAAGTATGGAAAGATGAGGCAGTAGATTGGTAAAGCCTCTAGTTGTCGGGTTTTAGCAAAAGGCATCTAAAAGGGTGTATGTGGGTCAGATGGTAATAAGGACTTGTATCGTACCGCGCTCTTCCGTGGTTGTCGTGCAGTGCTCTGTTGACGGGCGGTGGGAGGTGCCTGCTGAGCCGACAAACATCGCTAGGTATGCTGTGCGGGCGGGCAGTGGGGTATGACTGGCGTCGAGTAACGGTCGGTGACGGTGCCAGCGCTTCTGGACACTCGGCCGGACACGCCCGAGCCGGAGCCGGAGGTGCCCGAGTGGCGCCAGGTGACGCTCGAGCCCCGCCAGCCTCCCAGTCGAGCGGGCGACACCTCCTGCACCGACGTCTCCACACCTCCCGAGTCCGAAATAGAGGACTTACTCATGCAGTGGTGAGTGCGCGGCCCCTTCGCTCCCGTTGGGGTGGTGAGCGTGAACACCGCCTGGTAGCCGCCAGACTTTTTGAGTGGGTGCAAAAGTCTAACGCTCCACCAGCTGGACTTCTTGTTATTTTGTGTGCAAAATCACACACCATGCAACGATATTCGCAGCATTGCTAATGGATAACGTTTCTCACATCCTATGACATGTGCACCGAATAGGCAAGTGCTAAACACCCGCCATTTTGGCCCGTTCTGCATTTCTGCATCTTCCGTCTTGTCCACCCACCACGCCATTGGCATCGCGGCGGACGGCCAACCCTAGTCTGTATGGACTAATCTCCGTGATGTGTTGGTGTAGCCGTCGTTAGCATCCTGTGTCCCGGCATCAACGCCAAACCCACGCGCCGCTTATGCCGCCAGGGGGGCGGAAGACGCGAGCAACTGCACGCCTCTACCGCGGCTGACGGTGGCCGAAGAGCTGCAAGCCAGCGCGCTCAGTATCGTGGGCTCGCGGCGCCGGCGTCACGTGCCGCGCTGGCAGCTGCGCCGGCGGCGGCTCGCCTCCGAGTCCAGCCACGCCTCGGACGGCACCCCGTCGGCCCGGCCGCCGCCGGCCACGCCCGGCGCCGCTGCCGCCGCCGCCAACAGCTTCACGCAATTTAGCCTGGAGCTGTTCGACGACTAGCCTGCGCCGGCCCGCTTCGGGCGGACGCTGCAGAGCGAGAAAGGTGCTGACGCAACTGCCGCTGGCGTCGCTGCGCGGTGCCTGCGATACCAGATGGGGAGTGCGCGTGCGGTTAGCGGCGTTGGGCAGCTCAAGTCAGCTGTTTGATTAGCTTTATGAACTTGCCTGGTGTGCATGGTGTGGGGAATGACATGTAAAGACGCCAGCCTTCGCTCTTGTCTCAGAAAAAGTGTTGTTCATGTAGCACAAAAGCACAACAGTTCCAGTTGTGTAAGGGGTCCATGTAGTTGGCCACATAACAATATGCTTTTGGCTAGTTTTGTACGGGATGCTGATTTCAACTTGGTCATGAGCGAAGGAGGGTTTATGCGATTTATAAAAGCGGGTAAAAGTTTGTTTTCTGGCAAATGGTTGAAAGAAGTGTGTGGTTTGTGTTTTGTACTTTGTATTTGATAAACAAGAGCTTGCATTTCATCGCCGCAGTTGCTCGGAATGACCAACAGACCCCAGGAAACCGTGGATATCCGTGGCCACTACAGCCTACTGAGGCAGTTCGTAACCAGTGAAATAACTGATGAGTCATTGTAGTGACCGAGTGGTCGGAAACGCTCCAGCAAGACCCGGCACCATCGAAGTCGCCTAACATGATGAGCTCGTTTTAGGGGATGAGCTCCCGAGATTGACGATGGCAGTGAAACACTAGGGGATTCGTGATCACCATGTGTGGCAATCATGCTTGGCAATCTACATGATGTTCCAACCAGGGAATTGAAAACATTGTGCGCGCTGAAAGCTCACTAAGTTACGGGAATTTGTCGTCATCTGCCATTAACCCATTTCTCAAAAAGACAACCTGTTTTTCGGCTTACCCAAAGACAGCATGTAACTCAACGCTGGCGGCGGGCCGGCCGTGCCGTCGGTTTGCAAAGATACAATGGTTAGTTAAAAATGACATCTCCCGCACGCGGAGGACCGAACCAAGCGCAAGCGTCATAGTCGTGGGAGCAATATTGGGCGGCAGCAGAAGTCACATCGGACAGCCGATCTTTCTTCTTCGAACAACCCGTTGGCGGCGCTTTCCTAACTCGGGAAGACCTACCGGTAGCTTACTGGCCGGAACGTGGCATCCCGAAACTTTACCTATCTCCGCGCGCGAGTGCTACTTTGTGAAGTTGAAGAGCTACGTAGGTGGTTCTTGGACCCCCGCACTCCTCCTCTTTCAACAACCAGACTCCAATAGAGTTTTCAGCCAAGAGTGGGGCCCAATACATGTCCCGACTGGGGCTGAAGGGCCTTTCTGTCCCATTTCTGATTGTCTTTTGGGTACTATTGGTACACACGATGCATTGGCCCCCTCTCTGACGCCGAAGGTCCTCTGACCGAAACAGTAGACCCGGAATCGACGCGGGGCCACTCGCCGACACAAAAAGGTCCCAAGCGTAGCGGGTGTGTCGCCCGGTTCGACGCGTTCGGGCCGGTAGGGAAAACGGGCGGAGGGACCCTGCCCGGTGTTGGGCCCTCTGGTCCAGCGGGAGAGAACGCCTCTCAGACTGCCGCCGGAATGTGTGCCGCGGCCAACCGAGCGGAATCGAGTCAGGAGCCTCGGGATCTGACGCGAAGATGGCGGCGTGCCGACTGGGCTGGTAGTGTTTCGGCCGAGGGCAGGCCGCCCCACCAACAGGCCTCGCGCGCGCGTGTGTGTGTGGGGGGGGGGGGAGGGCTCCGTTCTCGGGCGAGGACGGCACGCGCGTAGCTATGTTCTGCACCTGGCGGCCGGGCTGCCTCGTCCGCCGGCCCACCGCGGGAACAGCTGCCGGCCGGACCATCGAGCTCTGGAACCCTGGGCTCACCTGTGTGGCCGTGTTCCGCTTCTAGCCGATTGTAGGTTATTTGTCCCACATACATACATTGATTCAGCGAGAGCGTTGTCGGCGGATTTAGCGAGCGGCGGTTTGTGTGTCGAACGGGCTGTAACGCTGATTGGGATTCACGCCTCACCGGCTGCCAGGGTCAGGTCGAGGCAGCCCGGCTTCTATTACGTAATTTACCAGACATCAGGTATGTGGCATGCGGTGGTGGTGTGGCCGGGACCCCATCCGAGGATCGAAAAGTCCAGAGCTGAGCACCTTAACCACTCTGCCACCATCGCCGTCCGCGGCCCGCCCTGCACCGGTCTCGATAAGCTCCAGGCTGGTGTTGCTGGACCCCCATATTCTGTACGAAGAAGATCGTGAGGTGTGAAAGGAAGAAATTTGTCAAGGTTGACGGAACGGATGGCGAGTGTAAGCCCACGATTCTCTTTGTTCATCCAGTTTATGTATCACAGACCAACTCAGTGGCATACACTTGACCTCGCTGCTCGGGTGGTGAATCACATTTACCTTCAAGCGCGGCACGCGCGTAGTGTTTGCGTGGCGGTTGGCAAGCAGTTAAGTGTATTCGCAGTCAACGCCTGCTTTCCTTTTTACTCGCTTCCTTTCTACTTGAAACGAGGGGTGCAGTTCCATATTCAGTTGCAGGAGATCCATCCGATCCCCAACTTGGACTGAAGCCCGCGGCTTTGAGAAAAAGTGGGCCAAGTGCGGAGAGAAACTCACGTGTTGGCATATAATCGGGGTAGTTTTTTATCGCTCAGCCAACCGACTTATTTTGCGGAATACGCTCCCGCTGTAAACGTGTATAACTGAAGGAACGAATGGTTCGCAGGTCGAGCCACTGAGGGCGTCACACACGAGGGCAGTATTTTCCAGATTCAACTGATAAGACAGTCCTCCCCTTGAGAGTAAAGGCATGTGAAACTCGGGATTAGTCCTGTTTTCAGGAGCTTATGAAGGAATTTGCGATGAGGGGGGGGGGGGAACAACCGCATAAAATCACCGGCAATATAGGTTAGTGTGCCAGGAGCTGGATGACGACATGCGCGCCGACCTTGAGCGGTCATCAAATCAGTCAGTCTTACACATCAATCATCAACTCGTTCAACAAAATGAGTTGTGAAACACCATCAACACATACAGTAAATAACAGGGTCGAACAGCGCGGAAAATTGTATCCATAGTCGCAATACCAACCAGCAGATACAACCGATTTATTTACCGGCTATTTCTGAGGAAATTTGTTACAGAATGGGCTTGGTTTGTGCTATCCGATGTTTCCCGGCTTCCTTTATGCTATTTTACTGCACTTTCAAGCATCTTTTGCACTTCGTACTATTTCTGTGAGAAATGCGACCAGATCTTGGAGAACACTCAGGTTCCTCTCTGTGCTATTTCGTGCGCACATATGGTTTCACTCACTACATAAAGCAAGGGCGTAGTTCGCTATCCAGTGGGAGGGAGAAAGTCACCAACCAAGTCACTGCGGAAATCGCCACTGCTGCCAACACCTTGACTGCCAGGAGCTTCCATGACTGAGACAAAAAAAGAAAAACAGTTAGTGCGATCTTACATCTCACTCTCATTCAGTGATTTAGGCCGTTTAGAACAATATGAATGCGAGGATACTTTTCATCTGCATCCCAACATCTCAGCAAGTGTAACTTTTAATTATGAATTGCGAAAGAAGACTATAAAAATGGCATCTGCATCCCCTTCCCCATATGTGATGTTGAGTTCCTTGTCGGCGCTTTAAGGCAGCTGCTGTACACCCAGCCAACACGCCGACGTCGCCCCGACCTATGCTCGCACTCACCGACGTCCAGCCGACAGGCACGTCGAGCCCACGTCGGCCCGCTGTCCACTCGACCTTCGCCCGGACTTCACCCGGCGCGCTCTCACTCTCGCCAGCCTCCCAGCCGACGTTCGCCAGCCTCCCAGCCGACGTTCGCCAGCCTCCCAGCCGACGTTCGTCAGCCTTCCAGCCGACGACAGCCGACAGACGACGCTCCCCAACCCTCCAGCCGACGTTCCCCATCCCTCCAGCCGACGTTCGCCAGCCTCCCAGCCGACGTTCCCCAGCCTTCCAGCCGACGTTCGCCAGCCCTCCAGCCGACGACAGCCGACAGCCGAAGGGCAGCCGGCAGCTGCCCGCGGGCGAGCGGCGACAAGGTGCACCCGAGCAAGCGCGGAATGTCAATGAAGAATCGCTGCATACAGGAATCGCACGCCACCGATGTAAAAGCTGAACAGGGGTCAGAATGAAATGAAAAAGGTCTGGGCCACTGGCGGCCGGCCGACTGATAATTGGCAAGTCCAGTAACGAATCTCTCCACAAATTAGGTGCAAGACCGCCTAAACTGGTACAAACATAGCACTTGTGCATGCATGACCAAATGCCAGAGCTGTGCAGAACGTCTCGTCGCTTTCCGGGCCCAACTCACGCATAAGAGGCGCACCTTTGGCTGGAGTGCTCCAAGTCCAGCAGAGAACCTCCCTGCAGGCTTAATGCAAAACCAGCCAAAACGGCACAAACGTGGCACGTGTGCACGCATGTGAGATATGGAAGCATTTTCCGGCCATTCTATCGCTTTGGTGCTTGAACATGCCACCGAAAAAGCGGTCTGGGCGGCTGGAAAAGGAACCAACCATCTCGTCGCTTTCAGGTCCCAGCTTGCGCATGATGAGGCGCAACTTGGGCTAGATTGCTCCAAGTCCAGTGTGCGACTTCCCTACAGGGTAGATGTCATGATGGCTAAACGGGTGCAAACGTGGCACGAGTACATCCATGTGAAATACGGAGACATACGTCGACCAGTCTATCACGTGAGGAAGTGTGATTGTTAAGCCTCCATTTCAAAAATGCTCTGAGTGACTGACGGCTGCCTGATCACGTATCGCTTCAAGCCCAGTAACGCACCTCCTTGCAGGCTGGATGCGAGACCGCACAAGCTTATCATACGAGGGCTTCAACTCCCCCCACTTTGAGATACAAATTGATCAAAGCCAGGTGGTGTTTTCACACAGTTGGATATTTTTTTTTTGGGGGGGGGGGCGAAAGTTTTCAATTTTGTTTCATGTTCCAACCTCCGAACTCCCATTGGAAAATTACGCCCCCGCAGGTCGTTGGAGAAGGCTGTCTTCCTTCTACCACACACTAAAATTTTACCACCGCTTCTAGCTCTAGCCGAGTTGGATGGAAGCCGCCCTCTCTTTGCCACGACCGGTTTTCTCAGGAGTGGTGTGTAGGGAAGGCTTTTTCGGTCCCGACGCCCTCCCCCCCTCCCATTCATTTCTTCGTTCTGCTCTGCACAGCTCTGGGATTTGGGCATGCATGCACAAGTTTGTACCAGATTAGGCTGTCTTGCACCTAATTTTTTTAGAAAGGTTCGTCGTTGGACTTGTCAGTTGCCATTCAGCCGGCCATCAGTAGTTCAGACCTCTCGTGCGAGGGCTCAGTGGCTGCTGCTCACACCGTGTTTAAATGTAAAAGTTTAGACTACAAAGTGATAATAAGACGATCGCAGCTGTTGTTACAGCCTTTTTTCATTCTGGCCTCTCTTCAGCTTTTAAATTGGTGGCGCGCGTTTGTTGCACGCCGTGTTTCTTCATTGTCATTCTGCGCCTGCTCGGGTGCACCTTGCCGCCGCATCGCCGGCCGGCGTCCGCCCGTCACCTGTTGGTAGCCGGGCGCAAGAGGTCCCTTAGCGCGTCCCTCACCCTTGCTCGTCCTCAGCAGGCTTTCCGAGCGGTAAGTACTAACTCAATATCTTAGTAGACAGTAGGCACCAAAATTGTATTTCCTTTACAAACGTTCAAGAATTTGCATGATTGTACCATGACGCCGAGGATGTATTGTGATTAGTACATGGTTTGCCTCATTTAGCGCAAAGAGACCTATTGTGGGTTCAAAAGCTGGTAAAAGTACTAATAATTGGAGGTGAAATGAAAATAGTTTTCACATAACACAAAATTGTCGCAAATTAAGCCTGTCTATAAAATAGCACAAAGTGAAGAATGTAGTACATAAATGATCTTATTTAGTTGATAATACATTACCACCATTATTTTCTTTCCATTACAACGTCCAATATTTTGCTAAGCTCGTGACCATGCACTACATGCACATGCTCACCAAATAGTGACTTGCATGAGTTTGCCAGACTATAGAGGAATGCACCACAATTAGTAAAAAATGCATCATGCGTCTGAAAGTGAACTAATTCCAGCACAAATACGTCAAAATACCCAGAACTGGAGGGGAACTAGGAATAATTTTCAGATGGTGCAAAAGTGCCGCCAACTAGCACACATCTTCTTACATTAGCACATAGTGAGAAGAATAGCGCAAAATTGGCCTTATTGAGAACAAAAGAAATTACCAATCTTTATGCGGATGCCTCCCGCCGCCCTGCTTCAGGCACTGTGGTGGCAGCACCATCGCGCAGCGTTCGCCGCCGTACGCCCTCTGGGTCAGTGAGCCGGTGGAGGGCCCGGGTGGGGTGCGCGCGGACGGCCACTGCTCGTGCTACTGAGGCGAGCCGCTGTGGCAAGCGAAATCACCAGACCAGCGGACACTCAAACCAGGCAAGTGATTGGTACACCAAATTCCACCAAATTTTTGCCTGACACTGCAGCGTTCGTAATTGGGTGCGGTACTCATGACATACATCGTTGTTAGGGATTTAGGGACGCATTTGCTTCACAAAATCATATTCGGTGGGGCGATCTAGTCATGTGGGGAATATTGACCGCGAGTTTGATTAACCAACCAGGTTTAAACCTTGCGTGGGATTCATTCTTTCATGTCCAGTCGCAGAATACTCGGATTTCTCTACTCCTCGCATTCTGTTCAACTCCTCCTGCCCCTCCCACGAGCCAGGTATCTCTTCCCATTAACAGCCTGAACTACAGTGCAGGGTTTGCAGCCTACGGCCTTAAGTATTGACAATAAATATGTTATACTCGGGTTGATGCTCGTCGAAATAATGACTACCTTAAACCTGAGGAAATCCCCGGTATGCAAATGGATTTTTTGCTTTCAAAAACAATTCGGAAGGAATCTAGCATTACCGCCATCAACAGCACCCCTTTGAGGAGTCAATTTTCAGGCCACCGAAATTGGTTTGTTAGACGAGGAATTGTGCTGAATTGGTTAAACGTATATGTATAAGATTACGAAGTTAGAATCCGTCGGATTCCTGGTTTTCCACAGCATTTTGAGGCCGTGCGTTTTTCGACGTCCTTGCCAACCGCAGTAATGAAATTCTAGGGCGTGTTGAAGTGGGGCGCCCCGCAGCACGTGTCCCGCTTATACAAGCACGAACATGCTAGAATAAAGGTACGGTATTCAAATAATTTTTGCGCGCCTGTGTTACTCCGAAAGGTTTTTTTTGTGTGCAAAATGCAGAAAAATGTTTTTTTTTGTGCAAAATGCCTCGCCGCTAGTCCTATTCTACCATGACGATGGTGTTGTCTTGTATTGATTATGTGTCCGACCACCCACTACGTCCGTCTTTTGTTGTTGTTTTCATCTGAACATAACTATAAATACTAAATCCATGACGAGTCGGAACTTGAAGGGAAAATAGTTGGATCAGTATTTCAAACGCGTCGTATCGTAGAGTTTCCCCCTCACTCTTCCTGCCAACGTCCGTCACGTTTTTGGGTTCCAAACGTTGAGCCATCACGTTTTCAGAACAGCGTTATCAGGTGATGACGGTACCCGATCTTTTCTTTTTTCCTATACGCCTGGCGTCGCTAATCTTATCGTTAGTCTAAGTGAATGCTCATTAGGGATATCGATGTAAAAGGGAGAATGATAAATGATAACGGAGCATAGGAGAATGGGAGAAAAGCTTGTGTGTGACCCAAAAAACACAAAACAGCGACAGAAAAGCGAAAAAACGGCACTGAACACACCTTTGGTGCGCCGATACGGCGATGATTGATCCTTCCATGCTCCCACTGAATGCTTTCTGCTCGAGTGAATTGGGTACCACACAATTATATGCACTGTAGTTACAAGAGCCTAAAATCGTTTGATCGAGCTGGTAAAAACATCGAAGCGTGGGAACAAGGTATCTTGGACGATGGCGCATGAACTAGTGCATGTCATACGGCGAGTCTTGTTTTCGCATTGGTGGCGCATCAGAGTCACAATGTCGTTTGCCTAGATGTATATATATATATATATATATATATATATATATATATATATATATACATGCACATGCGGGTACGGGTGTCTGTTCATTTTCATGGAAAAGTGGTTTGAGTACGTCGTCAATGCACACAATTTGATGGCGTAAAAAAACATTGCGTGTTTTTGATTCACTTGTTTTTACATTTATGCCCAATTTTTGCTGTCGAGTCGAATTTTGTTCATAAGCATATTTATGTGCCTGAAAAACTTAGACGGAGCATGTGCCTTGGTGGCCCCCTTGAATACACCCCACATGCCTTTAGATAACTGATAGGCTGAATGCCTATTTTATTTTTAATATTTGGTTTACAACGGCTTGATAACTGTGTAAGCACTTCTTAGAGCTATGTATATATACCACTTGTGCGTAAACAAGTTTTGCTTTTTCTAGTCGTGGCGTATTTCTATTTTTGTGCGAAGTGTTATTTGTAGGACTATAATATTGCATGAGATAGTAGATGATCTGTTGCGAAATGACGAGTAGAATGAGATAAACGAGTACGAAGCCAACACGTATTTCATGGGTCTTTCGCGCCCAGCTAGGCTCGTCTGTGAAATAACTGAATCACTCAAGTTCGAATCCCAAGCGACCAGGCGGTGGTGCCATATCTCCAGCCTGGCCCGAAGCCAACCGGCGTTCGGCTCCATGATGTCTCTATTGTACAACACGCGCCACGGCTGTCGCTCCACCAGAGACGTGTGGAAGCCCGACGCCTGCGTGGCTTGCGTGACGCGCAGCCGATGCCGCGTGTCCGACAGGCGGGGCTGATGTCGGACATGTAGGGCCGTGTGTCGGGAGGATGAGGTGGGCGCCGGGCAGCGGTGTTCACCAGACTCGGGCGTTTGGAGAGCGTGCGCTGTTGACCTACAACGTCAGCCGCTCTTGTAAACATGCCCATTTTCAAAGTTTCCCGGAGGAATGCCACGCTATTCTGTCTGGGTGTGTGCAGTGCAGTTTCGTGATCGGGCGGGATGTGGAGCATGCACACGGACGGATGGTTCAGTGCCGCGGCGTGTGGGCGCCATCGGATACCGCCGTACAAACAGAACGGCGTGAGGTTACCGCGACCAATTTGTGGTTGCTTTTTTATGTGGCGGCAAGCGTATGAGTGTGTACTAGTGTGACTAAATTGTTTGGTCCGTTAGGTTTTGCTCCGTGCGGAGCATAGGAAAACAATATTATGACTGTCACTCTCTCCCTCTCCTCTCAAACGATCCCCGACCGACAACTGTTAATGGCCCACAATTCTTGTGACTCAAAGAAGAGGAATGCAATGTGGAATTTGTCGTTTTAGGCCCCTTTTACCCCATAATTAACTGGGGCCTAAGTTGTGATTAATTTCGCCGTGAAAACGATGTCAGATCCACTTTCCCCCATAATTAACTGGGGCCTAAGTGGTGATGAATTTCGCCGTGAAAATGATGTCACATATAGTGCATTTGAAGTGGTCTTGCAAGGTAAGATGTGTGCAAATCATGCTCTATTTGTTCTTCGGAATCAATGGATTTCGATTCCTCCGCTTGGCAAAGTTACCAATGCCCCTTTGTTCTCTGGGTCGGTAGAAGCGCTGATCGAGCTGGGGGTGACAGTCACAGCGGTATTTCGTTGTCAGCCCTTCAGTATGGCACCAGGTTGTCTCGGAGCAGCCGGAACAACCTGCTTTTGTCGGTCGTTGTCCGTGGGTTCAGGTCAGCAGTGACCGGAACCAGTCTGGGTCAGTGCCGGCCGCCTTCGGTGGCCCGACCGGCCCGGTCTCGGCCTGTTCCGCGGAAATTACGGACCAACCGTTCCCACCAGCTGTATGCCCTGATTGTCTGCAGCGCTATAACAAGGTCTCGTCTGGAACGACAATGAGGGGCGCAGCCGAGGAATTTGAAGCCAGCTTCAGATTTTGGCCTCGTTCTAGAGAGCTCTAGAGGAAAGGGCGCGAATACAAGACGGGATTTCATTGTAAAGGACTTCGGGCTCTTCTGCAATTTTACGAGCTACAATAACTTACCTTGGTGTCAGAGCCACGCAAGTATTCATTTAATCAAAGCCTGTTTGCAACAAAGTGATGAAAACACCCATGTCATTCGTCAAAGCCGGAAGAAATCAGGCATTTCCACGAGATTTCTACCCATTACTTTGTATTTCCGGCTGGCACCATGAAGATACGTCTGACGTGCAAAGGCTTTGTAAAAGCGGCGGAATAGCTGATTTGGATCGAAAGCAACTGTTGCCAGTATTGAGACTTTGACACATTATTGTGAGTGTGGTAAACCACTTTTTACAAGGTCTTTGTCTCACGCGGCCTTATTCATATGCATGCTTTAGGTTATAACTCAGTTTTCATGGGAAAAGCGCCTGCCACCATGTAGCCTGAACCACCTGGGGCGCTGAGCCGACCGCAACCGGCAGAGGGTTAGATGTAATCCGTATTAGCTCGGGATCCAGCCAGCCGAACGAAAAAAAAAACTCAGATGCAGCTTGATAAATTCGGCCAATCTCACCCCGAAACCTTTCCATAGTCGCCTAGCATCACTGACAACGTTGCAAGGTGCGAAAATGCCGTTCAAGTCTCTCTAATTTTTGAACAATTACGAGGCCGTCCAACACCCATCAGAAATACCATATAGCTTTGTGGGTGTCATGAAGGGAATGAACGTATCCGTGCGTTCCAGAATAGCACTACGATCACTGTTTTTTGGTGTTTGAATTGTCGGTTACAGAGAATGGTTCACATTTGAAGATATTGAAGCAAACATCGGATTTGATGGAAAAGTTCACTTATAACTATAGGTATACCTTTTAAGAGGCAAGTACTGCTCTACACAGCACCATTCTCTGTTTAGTACATATGCTTCTCAATGCGTCATGGTTTGATTACGTCGTCATACCTTCCACGGCATTGAGAGCCAACTGGCAATCGTAATATGTGGAAATCGCCTTCACGAACGCCAGATATGAACATCTCGACAATTATATTTTCCTTGGCCTTGGTCGCCACATGGCTTATGGAAGGCTCCCTATTAACCGGTAACCAAAAATGGGTGAAAATGACCAAAATGGTCATTTCTATCACACTGGATGAATCACAACCAAAATGAACATTTCACCACCAATCGGATCATTTGCCATCAATTTGGACATTTTCACTACCGGTTTAACGAATGTGCTTACTATTATGCCTACTTAAGTCATCAAACATACGAAACAAATGTCTCCAAAGAACAGTTTCCACCAGACTGGCTGAGGTTTCATCAAATAGGTGAAACAAATCACCCGGATGTAGTAAGAAATCAAGCATTTGTACCAGAATCTAGGATATTCAGCCCAACAGCAAAAACTACCGTATTTTAAACCGAACCAGCACCAACACGGGGTTGTTTTGGGACGTAGACGCCATTACTCACCGTGGGGTTGCGTTGCGAGAGCGAGTCGCTGACTGGCAATGAGTTTCGTACATACCTACACATCCAGGGGCGTTGCCGCCTGGTGGTGGTGTGTGTGTGGGGGGGGGGGGGGGGGCACAGGGGACATATCCTTCCGCTAGGCCCTGAGCGACTTTCGGGACCATCGGTACCACTATTAAGGGCCCGATTGGAGTCCGAAGGGCTGACCGGGAGACGACTCTGGGGCAAACGACCCTGTGCTATGTCTAAGCCAGATGTTGGCTAAACTCGTGGAATAGTACTGGTGCACACGAACTATGCGCATACCTTGAGCGTGCTTTTCGGGATTTTCCTATGCTTAATGATGCTAATCCAATTTTGCGCGTTTAGAGCAATTATATATGACAAAATAAGTGAAATGATCAAAGCTGGGCTCGAGGTCTTGAGCGGGCTTTTTTGGAACTTGCGCGCGGGTGGGCATTTCTAAAAATGGTCAAGGGGCATTCAAAAAACAAGTGGCAGCTCGAGTCACAGCAATTTGATTTCCGAATACTTGTTATCTGGCTGCGTCTTGCAGAGTTTAGCTGAAGCTCCCACTCGCGGGCGTCCGCAGATACCACAACATGAGTTGGGGCTTGGCGTGAGACCTTCACATATCCAGGTCAAAGGACGTCTGCCCCGTGATACGGCGGCGGCCAACTCAATCCAGACACGCTTTGGCGAGCAGCGGATGTTGGGGTTTGCGCCAGAGGTTGTGCGCCGCTGACTGCTGATTGGCTGGCGTCCAGTCACACCACCAGGCGACTTTGATGCGTCACAGTGCCTCGCCGTCCACGTGGGGTCAGCGGCTACGCCGTCGTCCCGCTCCTGCCGCCAGCCGAGTCCGCAGTGTGGGCCGCTCCGGGGTCAGTGGAAGCCGATCCCGTTTATCGTCCGGTGGGGCAATGTCCAAGTTTTGTGTTTGCAATGCGGGCTCGATGGGAGCAGTGACACTTTGAGGCCGCAAATTGAGAAACAGGTGTTTGTAGCAGAGGGACTTGGTTTGGATACATAATACATTGCGAGGAAGGCATGCAATTTCAATGCTTGGTCATTCTTCGATGGTGAGAGGGGCTGGACGGGTGGTCTGACACCGACTTGTGTGAAGGTTCCTAGCGCGATTACATCATTTCCAACAATAACAAACTCCAGCGCTCTCCTCGGAGACCGAAAATTGTTCAAGGGGCGAGATGCTACATTCGATGCCTAAACAAACCTTCACAGTGTAGAAGTGTGTTAGTGCAGTGCCGCTACAGGGCTTAAGGCGGCTTTTGGTCGTGTTTAGACTTTGTCCGCAGTTGCGCGACGAACCCACACAGCTTATCAAAAGAGCTGTGAAGCACGGCCTTAAGGGCCCACCAGGCTCTTACAATTTTATGCCTACCAAAACGAGGAAAATATAGCGATTTTAAAGGCGGCAATCTTGCCAAAACCGAACGACAGAAACAGTGCTATTTCGGCGTTGTTCTTTCTTGAACGGTAACACTACCATAACCGAGATCTCAAGTGACATCTGCGTATAAAATGCTCGTGTTAAAACCAAGGCTGAAGAAATACTGCAACATCAGGAGTCAACGACTGGCAAAGTTAGAAACTGCGAAAAGAAACACGTTCCAACGGAGCAACACGATGTTTGGAAGGCTAAATGTTATGTGGGTGTCCATGTGTTTTGACTCAATCGCCTGAAAGGGATTGGCCTTACCGGAAAACTGTTTTAAGTTGAATATCTTAGAAAGTTACAGCATTCTCTCCCATTCATTTGATATCACTTTTCTTGCCAGGCGGTTTTTCTTTTCCGCCGTAATATTGCCGCAGTGTGGGCGTCGACATTGGTCCCGATGGGAATCGAACACCACCTGGTGGTACTTTAACGTGGTAGCGTTTTAATGCCTGGCGTTACGACCAAAGACGTTTATATGTTTTGACCGCGTTTTAATCTTTGACGTTACGACCGACGACAAAACGCGGATGCGGCAGTATTTCAGCTGTCAGGAACAGACTTGTGTGCGACTAAAATTCTTTGAGTTGGTTCAGGTCTGACTCCCAGATTTTGGGATCTGATTCAGCTCACGACTCAACGCCCTCCCAGATTTATCGACTGAGCTCAGACTCATCGCTTGCACTGAATCATTTGACTCATAAGCTCAGCTTGTAGATCAAAATTCGGATTCAGTGATCTCTCTCTGTCTCTCTCTCTCTCTCCAGTTATATATATATATATATATATATATATATATATATATATATATAATCTCTGTCAAGTCTAAGCTATGAGACCATCATATTCTTCTTGACACATATGACCTAGACCCATTAGTTGTATAGCATAGTGTGGACTAGACTGCACTTAACCTGAAATTTGGCAGTCT